GCAGAGTTCGGCATTGAAAATGAAGTGTTGAGATTTCGGAACCGAATGTGTGTCCTAGATATTTCGGAACTAAAGAAAAGGGTTTTAGATGAAGCCCATAAATCGGTGTTTGCTATGCATCCAGGTAACAATAAAATGTATCGAGATTTGAAGCAAAGTTATTGGTGGCCTAAGATGAAGAAAGAGATTGCAGAATATGTGTCCAAATGTCTTCAATGTCAGCAAGTCAAAGCTAAACATCAAAAATCGGGCGGTCTACTTCAACCCTTCCCTATTCCTGAATGGAAGTGGGAACATGTGACTATGGATTTCGTTGTTGGCCTACATTGGACTTCTCGTGTTATGGGTTCTATTTGGGTTGTAGTTGATAGACTGACTAAATCTGCACATTTTCTACTGTTAGAACTACGTTTAATGCTTATAGATTGGCTATAATATATGTTGATGAGATTGTCCGTTTACACGGAGTTCCGGTATCTATTGTATCGGACAGAGATCCGAAATTTGTATCTAGATTGTGGAAAAGTTTGCAGGAAGCTATGGGGACAGAACTGAGATTTAGTACTGCATTCCACCCACAGACAGATGGGCAATCAGAACGGACCATACAGACGTTAGAGGATATGCTGAGAATGTGTGCCTTAGATTTTCAGGGGAGTTGGGAAGAATATTTGCCACTTGCAGAGTTTGCATACAATAACAGCTTCCATTCCAGCATCGGTATGGCACCATACGAGGCTTTGTATGGTAGGAGGTGTAGATCACCGATTTGTTGGACAGAGCTCGGGGATAGAGCTTTACTTGGGCCTAAAATTGTGCAAAACACTTCTGAAAAGATCAAAATCATTCAACAGAGGCTCAAAACAGCTCAGGACCGACAAAAGAATTATGCAGATGTTCGAAGAAGACCTCTTGAGTATGAGATTGGTGACCATGTGTTTATCCGTGTGTCTCCAATGAAAGGCCAAGTCAGGATTGGGCCGTTTAAAATTTTAGAAAGACTTGGCCCAGTTGCTTATAGAGTTGCTTTGCCACCAGGATTTGAGCAAATCCATAATGTGTTTCATGTGTCGATGTTAAGGAGTTATCTCCGAGACCCGTTTCATGTGATTGATTATCACTGGGTAGCTCTGGATGAAAATATGGAGTACGCCGAATGGCCGGAACGAATTGTTGACCGGCAAGTGAAACAACTGAGAAGCAAGTCCATCCCAATGGTGAAAGAACACTATGTAACGGATGCTACATGGGAAAAAAGAGGAGGAAATGCGACTACGCTATCCATATTTGTTTCCCGACGAAGGTAAAATAAGTTTGGAGGACCAAACTTCCTAAAGGGGGGAAGATTGTGATAACCCTGTTCTGTATTATGCTAATTGGTCCTCATTATGAATGTGATTATGTGTTTGATATGATTTTGTGTACCATTCATGTGAAAATATGTGGTTTTGAATTTCTATCTGTTCACCGTAGGAATATCTGTTTGATTATCTGCTTTGGAATTTAAATTGAAGGCCTTATCGGCCATAAAACTAGGGGTGCAACTCGGGCAGGCTCAACCCGAGCAACCTGAGCCCAGCTCGAGTTTTTTTAGGGCTTGGGCAACTATATCTTGTAATCTGGACGGGCTTGGGCAAAATTTTGATGCCCGAATTGCAATTCGGGCCGGGCTTGGGCAGAACCAATGGCCAACCCACTTGCCATTTCTCACTCTTTTTTATATTTTTAAAATTTTTTAAACATTTTGTCAATTACCAAACATGTTTGTAGCTTATGTTTTTGCTAAAAATAAACAAAAAAAATAAACAAAAATTAATTTATAAAATTTTTGTAAATATAAACTGAAAACGTAAACGTTACCAAACATACCATTAGTGTTTATGTTTTTATTTTATTGAATGTGGATTATTTGATCTTTGAAAATTGAAATGTTATGTAATATGCACTTTCATGGCTTTGAGAATTATTCTATATTTTGTCTTGAATCTTGATTACTTTTTATTTTTTAAAAAATTATAATAGTACTATGAATGATTAGTCTATATTAATTTTTCTATTTTTTACGAATACTGTGTGCCTTACTTCAATAAAGCCCGCGCCTCGCCTTGCGCCTTGCGCCTAGGCTCCAAGAGAACTTAGGCGCCTTAGTGCGCCTTGAGCCTTTAAAAACACTGGGCAGACCCCCAACCCGACCGAACCCACCCGAGTTGCACCCCTACATAAAACTCGAAATTGACTGCGCCATTATGATTGGCGTAATTTTTAGAGTCTACAGTGAAATTTAATTGGAAATTAATTCGAATCAAATTAATTAGATTAAATTGGTGACATAGTGCTCAATTATGTAATAATAAAATAATGTGATTAAGAGGGGCCATATAAAGGCCATTATACACTCAATTCTTCTCTTTTATTCAACTTGGCTGATTTTAACACTAAGAATAGAGAGGGAGGTTCGGCTAGAGAGATAGAGTGTGGGAGATTGAAAGCTTGATCTTGAAGTTTGATAATTTGGAAGACCAACTCAAGATTTGACCATAAATTGGGGAGATTGAGCTGCTAGGTAAGCAATTGATTATGAATTCATGAGTTTAATGTTGTAATTTTGTGAATTCAAAGTTAAATAGTGATCAAGAACAAGGATTGTGTTGTGTTTGATGAATTTGAAGTCAATAGATGCATGCATGTAAGAAATTGATATAAATTTCCATGTTTGAGCATAAAGTGTGTAATTCATGTTGAATTTTGGTTGAAGTCCATGTAATTGACCATCTCTTCACTAATTAAGTTGAGAATAATGAGTATCTCCCACATGCATGTGCAAATCATGGAGGTGTGAGTCTTGAATGTTTGAATTTAGGATGTTAGTGATGAGTTTGGGATAATTTGAGTCATGCATGTAAGTAATTCATGGAATTGAGCCTCATAATGTTGTAATTTGGTGTTGGCGCCATGTTAGTATATGTATATGTTAAGTTTGAGTCATAATATGCAAGAAATGTTGGTTTGAATGTTGAATTTGAGCTCAAGAACCATTCTGGAAAACCCAGAATTTATGATGACTGCTCGAGCAGGGGAATCGCCGCTCAAGCGAGAAATACGAGCTCCCAGTATTTTTCTGCAGGCATGACGTCTGCTCAAGCGGGGAAGTTCACGCTCAAGCGGGGAGCTATGTAGACCAAGTTCGCGCTCAAGCGTTAATTTGATGTAACCAGTACTTTTGCAGACCTTATGGGTCTGCTCGAGCGGGGGATCCCTGTTTCTGAAATTTTGTAGATGCATTCTGTGTTTCGTTTTCCGTTCTCTTTCACTTCTAAACACTCTTAGACATACATTGAGCAATGTAAATGAGTTAAAAGGATGGGAATGAAGCCTAAAGAGGAATATGTGAATTAAGAAACGGATTGAATCGTTTGTGACCCTTGCGTGTTATGTAATATGTAGGGTCAAGCTCTAGGGCAAATCATCCAGCCGATCGTTGTGAGTAATATCTGAACAAAGATATTTGAAATATGTTGTTTGTCCAATTGCTTACTTCTATGTAAGTCTTATAAATTCGATAATTTGAATAGTGGACAATGTTTGCTATGCCAAATGAATGGGCCAGAGGCCAGTCTGACATGAATGAAAGTATGAATGGGCTATAGGCCAGTTTGACATGAAAGTCTGAATGGGCCAGAGGCCAGTTTGACACGAAAGTTTGAATGGGCCACAGACCAGTTTGATATGAAAGTCTGAATGGGCTAAAGGCCAGTCCGACATGAATGATAGAATGAATGGGCCAAAGGCCAGTTTGATCTGAATAAAAGAATGGATGGGCCAAAGGCCAGTTTGATCTGAATGAAAGAATGGATGGGCCAAAGGCCAGTTTGATCTGAATAAAAGATAAATGGGCCAAAGGCCAGTATGACAAGAAACGAATTGGGCCCGAGGCCGTATAATGTGTTCGGAACCGTAGTCACTTGACCTAAATTGTGTATATTTGCTAAATAGAAATACGAATTGGGCCCAAGCACGCTCATTCATGTGTTTGTAGGTGAGCCAAGAGAGTTCCCAACCCAGCCTCAGTGAAGTCTGTGTGGAATAACCAAGGTTTTTGAAGAGTCAGCCCTTACGTCTCACACACGAGACTCGTCTTCGCCCTTTTGTTATCTTGTTTTATTTTGTCATGTTGGCGAGGACTTTGGTTTGTGTTGTATATATATAGTTTTGATTGGTTGACCTAGACTTGATAGATCCTGTATGTAAAGAGCTTTATGTTAGTACATATTTTGGTGTGAGTTGTTAACGCATATATGTATGGGTTGTTATGATGTGCCATGTAAGCACAGCTCTATGGACAAACGGATATTCATCCGGACAGATTGTGACCAGCGGAGAAAATTATCACCATTTAGGCGGATGGTGGGGATTTGGACAGAGTGAGAGTGTATGTAAAGAGCTTTATGTTAGTACATATTTTGGTGTGAGTTGTTAACGCATATATGTATGGGTTGTTATGATGTGCCATGTAAGCACAGCTCTATGGACAAAGTTTTAAATTTTGCTCCCATTTGACCCCTTTACTCTGATGAGTTATGTTTGGTTTGGTTTGAGGCCGTAAGTAATCTCAGGATTACTAACTGGTTATGTCTTTAACCCATAGGGGCGGGTTCGGGTCATGACAAAAAACGTACACTTATTTTGTCTACAAAAGTTGCCAACACATAACTGTTTTAAAACTGTTACATGCAAGAGAGCTACAAATAGAAATTTAACATATGGCTTAGCACTGAGTTTCATGATTTTATATTGCCTCATGTGTGAGTTGGACCAATTTCGTTTCCGTCACGATGATCATCTAATCATCATCCACTTATCACGCACCACGCCTTACCAAATCCAAACTTAACAATCATATGCCTTTAAGTTATTATGTGGATGAGTACTTCTTGAAGAGATGTACTTTCTAAGAATACACATTGGTTGGATTTCTGCTTCTAATGTGGATTTGTTAGCAGGTTGTTTTATCCCAGGGGGGTGGGTCAAACAGGGGTGGATTCACAATAGTGCACTCAAACACCAAGGGGTCTATTAATCTCGATGGCATGTTCAATATTATATCCTATGATGTTGTCCCCAAGTTGCAGAACATTCTTATGGCATCAGAGTTTAAGGTAAGTACATCTATTTGTTTGAATATTCTAATCTTGCATTTTTTCTACCTTTGATATTCTGAATTTCATGTTTCCTGAGCACTTTCATTTGTGCTGGACCTTGGTGAGTTTGATACATGTACGCATGGGATTACTACTTGATTATGTATTTTACTTCATTATGGTTTTATGTTTGTTGGTTTTATATTTTTAGCTGCAAACTTTACCCCTTTTTGTGAAGCGGCCAAAAATTTTTCTAAGCTATTAAGCCAGTCGAGAAATTCTTCGGGGTTGAGTCTAAGTGTTATTTATTTTTTGTCATGCCAATTATCAATAACTAAAATATTGTTTTTTTATTCCACCCTTAAAAATGGTGCAATATGACTATTTTTTGTTCTCTTTTTATTTTGAAACTTTGAATGCCATTCCATTGCTTGGTATAATTTCTATTTCTTCCAATTGTTTACTAATTTGTTCCCATTCATATCTCCATTGAATAAACGGGGACAAAATCTGAACGGCCTCAATTAGCTGAAGTGTGTCTATATTTCGGCATCAAAATTTGAATTTTGTGGTGCCAACGAAGTGCTTCGGGTGTTGGGTAGGAAGCATCAAGCTCATTTTGGTCACGTGATGAAAATTTGAACCTAACGATATTTTCATTCTCGCATTGTTCCTTTGTGTCTCATTGACAGGCCTGCTTCCTGCTGCTTGTAGATTAATGTGAACCTCCTTTGAATCGTGATACAATCAATTTCTATTGCATTTTGTTGTGTTTTTTCATTCCGGATGTTCAATATGACAGTGAGCATCTTGATAGATCTTCTAATGTATTCCATAGGGGTATGAAGTATGGCCACTCTCTTGGAGATTTTTCCACTTTTAAGTTTTTACACCGTGTCAACCGCGATACTCTTATTTCATGCCAGAAGTCTATATTAGTGAACACATGTTCTGATGTATGCACATATTTAGTATTGGTCAACCCCATGTTGCCATTATTTCTTATAAAATATATACTATAAATGCCTGTTATGCACCTATTGCCTTCACAAAACCATATACACCTGTGCAAACACTTATAAACTATATGTAATTAATGTGGGTGCCTTTAATCTATATTTCTTGGCTTCTTGACCTAGTTGTGTTTCCATCGATGATAATATGTATATTCAGATTGTGATCGCAGATGAATCACATTTCTTGAAGAATGCACAGGCAAAGCGAACAAGTGCTTCACTTCCTATATTACAGGTTCTCTCTCTCTCTCTCTCTCATATGCATGCGCATACAATTTCTATGACTATCAAACTTAACAAATTAACAATTTTAGAAAGCTCAATATGCAATATTGCTTAGTGGAACTCCTGCTTTATCGCGACCAATTGAGTTATTCAAACAGGTACTTTTTAATGTCAATGTACAACCTAACATGGTTATGCGTCAATAAGTTTACAGAAAATCTTGTATTGATTATGTATTAACTTTTGTATGCTTGGCAGCTGGAAGCCTTGTATCCTGATGTATATAAGAATGTTCATGAATATGGTAACCGATATTGCAAGGGTGTAAGTTAAAATCTCCATTCTATTAACAAACTCTCTTGATTTTTAGTTTGTAGTTTTAATACCACATAGTGAATTCTTTTATTGCTTCTAATGATGATAATCTAGGGTATATTTGGAATGTACCAAGGTGCCAGCAATCATGAGGAGCTTCACAACTTGATGAAAGCAACAGTGATGATCCGTAGACTCAAAAAGGATGTCCTTTCTGAGCTTCCTGTGAAGCGCAGGCAACAGGTACAAACTGTAGCTGTTCACTCGAGCTCTCCTTTGCTTAAGTGAGTAGTATTTCCCTTGGTTCATGCAACTAAGCTTCTAATATTCATAGACCTCAACATTAATTATTTAGAATATATTAACATTTATAGGTTTTAGTTTTTGTTTCCAGAATAATATTACCATACTGAAATGAAATTTGGATCCTTTTTTCTACACAGAAATTATCAGTATTGCCGATGGGGAGTCTAGAAGCAAAAATTTGTTAATTAAAAAAATTCAATAAGTGCCTCGATGTTGCTGTCATGCCCTTTTTGAATTACTATTTATTATAAAACCCTGATGTGCTTGGACTGCACTTCTAATAAAATTTTTTTTTTTTGATAAATAATAAGATTTTATTGAAAAAGCATCAAAATGATGCACTGAATACAAAAAACCGAAAGAGGTAAACAAAAATCGCCTAACAAATTACATCATCCAAAAAATCTAAGAAATTAAACAGATCCGGATCAACTTTACACTCCATTAACAATGACACAAGGACAATACCTAGTGTTGTTCCCCATTAATTGAGGATACTGGGAGGGGTAAGACTGGAGACAAACATAACTTTTGGCAATATTTGCATAAAGTGGTTGCTCTTGTACTCAAATCCATGTTCTTATGGTTGGCAGCTGAGCTTTTACCATTGTACCAAGCAATGCCACTCCCAGCACTTATTTGGAATGTAATTTTGAAATATATTTCAACATTCATTTCATTTCTTGAACATTGATTAATATGTTCAATGATACTTTCACTTAATGATACTTTCACTTAATTCTCAGGTTTTCTTGGATTTGGCAGAGAAGGACATGAGACAAATCAATGCTTTATTTCGTGAGGTGATATAAATTTCTTGGTGTCACTATTTTCTTGAACATCCTTGATTAAATTTACATGACTTCTTAAAAAGTTGAGAATGAATAATATTGGAGTACAAAAAGTTGATTTGGTAGCAGTTTTGGCAAGCATCTATATTGAATGGCGACATAGTAAGCTTTGCATGGAAGGTTTTTATGATGTTACTAGTGAACTATGATGTTAACAGTGTCTTGTATATCTCTAACCTGGTATTCGTAGTGTGGAATAAGTTGTGGCGATCATTTGATGACAGTTCCTTTTGCTAGGCCACCAAGAATTACTATCAAGTTAATCTTTGGAATCCTTTCCACCTCAACTTGCAGGCTGTTATGAGGTGTTCCATTTTTGTTGTTAGCTCATCTATAAATGGGGAATTGCTATTTTTAGCTTTCTTTTTCTTAATCAAATGTAATGTTGCCATCAATGGATTAGTCCCAAAAGCTTACACTGTTAGGAAATGGGTCCACCAATGTACATTGAACCATACAAACCTGTATGTGGAGCCACAATTGACCAAACATAGAGAAACAAAATGCAAACGTGGAACAAATGCAAATGAAGACAATTGAGAATGAATGACCTCCCCTAACTTGAGCTCTGATACACTGTTAGATCACCACTAGTTCCAAAAGCTTAAGCTGTTAGGAAATGGATCATCATTGTATATCAAGTCTTCCAACAGCTTTTACTACTTTTGTTAACCTTCTTTTTTTTTTTTTTGGTTAAGTTATGAATTTCCTACATTTCCTCATTCATGGTTATAGTATGTCGTATGTATGGTATATATAAATTGAAGATACATTGAGAAGATAATTTGCCCCCAAAAAGTTTGAGAATGTAAGATAAAAATAAATCAGTAATAATAATTTTCTATTCTGTAGTTGGAGGTTGTGAAAAGCAAAATTAAGGCCAGCCAATCGAAGGAGGAAGCAGAATCACTTAAATTTTCTCAAAAGCATCTTATTAATAAGGTATGCATGTGAGCTCCAAACCCAAGTTTTACATATTTGTTTTAGTTTTGGTCATTTTGATTTTTCTTACTGGGGCAAGATACTATATCACTTATCAAGCCTCCCTCTAGCTCTGATTCTCCTCCGTTGTTAGTAAGGAGAAACCCAATTCAATTAGTTTAGAGGCTATTCTGTGATAATATTATAATAATAGCCATGGTTCTTGTTCTTTTCTTATGCATCATTATTGTGAATGAAATTGCTAGGTAACTGTTGTGGTGGGTATAATATTCGTGCTTCATAGATGCTCAATATTGTAGATGCTGGAGTATACATGCTTCATAGATGCTGGAGTATGCCGGTTGTTAATTGATTGCTCTTTGATGCAATCTTTGATGAACATAAAATTATCTTTTTGATATTAAGGAATTTAGTACTAGATATTTTATAAATGTACTCTTGCTTTAGGTTTTTATTGTATACATACTACATCACTAAAAATTATAAAATAATTTTATTTTACAAACGTATCCTTGCCATATTTGTATCGTACCCTTTTAAGTTTTGCCGTGTAGCAATATCCATATCCCGTATCCGTATCCATGCTTCCTAGTTAGTAAGTGACCACTTTGTTCCATAAGAAGTAGGCAAACCCACTAAGGAATTAATTTCTTGATAATTATGTTGGCTGTAGAAATGTACACTTCTTCACTCCAGCCTAGTCAAGCTAACTACAAATACTCAAAAGAGAGTTTGATCACACATGCCCTTAGGATAGAGCAGGCCTCTCAAAAAGTTAATTCCAATTTGCCTCTATTAATCAAACTGAATATTAATCTAGGTCAGTGCAAGTACCCTGGATGAAATCTTTTGATGTAGGACGAGCAGGGATTACTTTCCTACAAATAGTGAGCCCGGTTTAAGTATACTGCAGCAGTAACAGTAGACTTGTAGGGCTAGATTTGGTGGGATTTTATGACTGTAGAAGTATTTAAAAAAATAGGAGTTTAAGGAACAGTTGGGTGGTTGTTCTAAGCACGGTGAACAGTGACGTGAACAGTTGGGTGGTTGTTCTAAGTACGGTGAACAGTGACGTGAACAGTTGGGTGGTTGTTATCAAATATCAATAAAGTATGTTGTTTCTGTTGATTATTACTAAACTATAAAACAAGAAGACCATATTTTATCTTTTTTGAGTGTTTGTAATATTTTTTTCGTGTCTTAATATATGAAAATAAATTTTAATGATTATATGTATAAGGAAACTTTTTGTAGCTACTAAATAATAAAAAAAAATATTGGTAACTTATTATTTTATCTGTAAGTTTTTTATAAAAAAAAAATATATGTAGGAGGGTCCCACTTTCAAAGCCCGTCTAAGGCCACATAAATCTCAAGGCTGGCCTTGTATGGAGCCTTACCCCACATGCGGGGAGGCTCAACTGCCATGAAAATGATTATAAGAAATTTGTTCTCTTTCTTGGCTATATTTTAATGTCAAATTCAATGAATCCGTTTGAATTCTAAGTGCCTTTCTCTCTTTGATACTTTTCGGACTCCAGATTTATACTGATTCTGCAGAAGCCAAGATCCCAGCAGTTCTGGATTACGTGGGAACTGTCATTGAGGTATTTCTTCTTCTCCCTTGGTTTTCCTTTCTAATACTAAACTGCATCAAGCAATGGATAAATTAAGCTGCTGTAATTAGTTTTGTTGAAAAACACTATTAGTTAGCACTTAGCTGTGAAAAAGCATTTCAAAAATAATTTAAAGTCTCTACGAGATAAGGATTAGAAAATAATAGATTTTTGTCATAGAAGAAAACTTCCAAGTAAAAATTATATAAAGAGAAATTAGTAACTACAAACAAATTGCCAGTGGTTTGTTGTTTGGCTTAGTTATGTTAAAGATGATAATCATCTGTTCACCATACCCAATTGAATCTTCATGACATGACTTAAGTTTATTTTTAATGTTTTTATTTATCATTTGGGTTTGACTTGCTGAAGTAGCAAAACAACTTTTACCAGTTCCAGTATTTGACATTTTTCTTTTTGTTAATTCTCCACATCAACATGAATTTTTTTCCACTATAATGGCATAAATTAATATGCTTACTTTTGATTATTTGGAAAATTAACATTGTCTTGAACTTCAGGTTTCATATTGGGTACTGATTAAAGTTTCACAGAACAAATGCAAAAATACAGCGCCATCATTAATGTTACAGGTGTTAAGTTATTTAATGGACTCAGAGGAGTATAAAAAATTGAAAATCAACTCTAATTTCAACTTTCAAGAATCACTTCCGATTTCGGCAAGCCCATTCTCACAATGAGTTGGCTACTCTCTCCAAAAACAGTTCCAGATTGAGGGAGTGAAGTATGCCTAATTTCGGGTATGATGTAATTGCGCTAGTAATGCCACATAATAGACATCTTTCTGGACAAGATATACCAAGTTGCACCTTTTATTATCAAATAATGACCTTATTGAAGATGTTATAGAATAAGTTTACAAGAAAGAAACCTAAGCAAAATAAGAATTTGTGGTAAAGCCAAATCTAAATCCTGGTAATTAGCATAACTTAGGAGAATTTATCCTTAACCACCTCTTAGTTTGCATGCACTTGTGCATATGTATGTCTATGCACATGCACGCTCAAACGTAGCATTCTTAATATTTCCACTGTAAAGAAGGGAACCTGATTTCAGTTTACAAGGAAGAATGTTTAGATTAAAGATATATATATATATATATTCATAATAATTTCATTGAAGATGAGGCAAGCAGGTGCAACCCCGTATACCAAAAAAAAAAAAAAAGTTGTACTTACCATGTATCAAAATCTCATCAAAGTCTCTACGAAATCTAAAGGATCAGGAAGCGTTGATTGAATCAATTGTGAGGCCTATGTTAGAATTAGCCATGGTTGGATATGGATAGCATACATTGTATAAGTTGATCAATTAGTTTTTCCATGTTGAGTCGAGGGTCAAAGGTTGCTCTGAATCTCTGATCCATATCATAATGTTCTCTGACATCTAGGATATATGCAAACGCAACACAGTATTTTATGGTTATTATGTGTACATACTACATACTATTGTTGAAGGTTATAGCATTTGAAGTTTTGTATTAGACCTTACCTATAATAAAATTAAATAAAAAATAAAAAAAGGTTTTGTTATAGACCTTTGTGATTTTTTGTTTCCTTTTTTGTTTATTTTATTGCAAATTTTGATTTGGATATTGTGCATCTATGTGTTAATTTTATCTTATTCTGATTGTTGCAGGCAGGTTGCAAGTTTCTAATATTTGCACACCATCAACCCATGATTGATTCAATATACCAATTTCTTCAGGTAATACTAGTGAATTGTCCATAAAAATCTTTAAAATTGATCCACTCATTAGCGCTGCCAAATTTCAGAAGAAAAGAGTTGGTTGCATTCGAATAGATGGTGGTACACCAGCAGCATCAAGGCAAGCTTTGGTAACAGATTTTCAGGAAAAAGATGCTATAAAGGCAGCAGTGGTAATGCAGTTTGATTCATTAATTTTTGTAGAATGTTTTCTGCTCTTATAATCTTCCCATGTATCAATGTTGATACTGTCATTGTGTTGCAAGGTTCATGATCTACAATTTTTCTTGTGCTTGTCATTTCACAGCTATCTATCAAAGCTGGAGGTGTTGGGTTAACCCTAACAGCTGCAAGCACAGTTATTTTTGCAGAGTTATCTTGGACTCCAGGTGACATGGTTCAAGCAGAAGATCGTGCTCATAGGATTGGCCAGGTAACCATTTAAAATTTCATAAATAATTGGTATGAGCTGTCATTTGGTTGGTATGAGCTATCACTTGATACCCTAGTATATCAGAGTTATTGTTTCATTTAAGTTGCTTGGACAATTTTTGGGGCACTACTGGTCAGTGCTTCTCAAGAGACATTCTATTTCTGCTTTCAAGCAAGTAGCAGTTATTTGCTCTGTAAATGCTTTTGTTGATGGCCCCAATTTATCATGAATGGGATGAAGAGTGATGACATTACAATAGCTATTGATGAAATTAGAGACTGCTCTAAGTTACTTTGTTTCAATTAAGTAATTGTGCTTTGCGGCTAAATGAAGTTAGTACAATAATTCTTCTAATTTTCATTCACAAATGCAAAGTGCCTCCAGTCTTCTGACAAGTTTGGTTCATTTTAGGTGTCATCGGTCAATGTATATTACCTGCTAGCAAATGACACTGTTGATGACATAATATGGTATGTTTATACCCCATTCGTTTTACTTGGACAATATTGTCTTACTTAAGTGGACAAGCTGTCATTGTTTGTTTAAGTAGGATATTTGATGATGATCAGTAACTTCTGCCTTATATTTCTCTTTACAGGGATGTTGTCCAGAGCAAGTTGGAAAATTTAGGACAGGTTATCTTTTCTTCCCTCTCTACTTCGAGGGTCATTCTGAGAGTGTGTAACATATTCAAGTTAAATGTCATAACTAAATTATTTTAAGTAATGACTTAAAAATAGCAGTCATAACCAAACCCCACATAAGGTATAGGATAAACTACTAATAAGTCTTAATAGTTAGACTTAATTCTCATCAAGTCCTATTGAAAATAAATCCTAATAAAATCATCGCTAAAAATAATTGTGACCTTGTTTGCATTTGTCGCTAAAATGAACAATTAGCGATTTTTTTTGTCATAATTTTTATAAATTGTCATTAAAACTTACAATTAGTGACTTTTTTTGTAATGAATTTTTCGAACTGTCGTTGAAAATTAAAAATTAGAAATTAGAAATTAGAGACTTTTTGTGACGGTTTTTTACACCATTGCCGAAGCTTATAAGTATGACATTTGTTGTAACAATTTTTAAACTATAGTTGAAAATTAACAATTAGTGACGTTTTTTAATAGTGTTTGATAAAAAATGCCATTAATTCTTACAAAACTTATTAGACAATAAGTTCATTTGTTAAGACCAACACGTGAATCGTCCTAAGGTATAACCAAAGACCTTTTGGATCATAACTAAAATAATAATCACAATAGATCATAATCAACTTCACAAGTCATAACTAATATCACAATAGGTGGTAACTAGGGCATATGGTACACACCCCAAAAAGGGGTTGGGCTGTGTACCATAGAATTTCCCCTACTTTTCAATACTCTTTACAAAATTTGAATTTTTATGCATCTGCTTGTAAATTTGTTTAATATAAAAAAAGGATCACCAATTCATCCATCGGACCATATATGCACATACATGTGGTTTGATATAGAACCCACCTGGTATGGCTTCAGTGCCAAATATCTTCTACATAGAAAGTTTGCATTTACACAAGCAAAGATTTTTTGAGATGCCAGGTTCAGTTTTCTTTATGTGGATTCTAAACTGAGATTTGGTCTATGGACTTCCAGATGCTTGATGGCCACGAGAATATGTTAGAAGTCTCAGCTAACCAGCCAAGAAGCAGCCTTGCAAAACAGATAACACTAGACTCTTTCATGAAGCGTTGTAACAACATCAATGACACTGAAGATCAGCCCAAGCTAAAATATCCTAGGAAATGAGCCATCGACTCTACAACCAAGTGATGTATAATCATGTATATATGAACAGGCACATGACTGAGTTCTTGCAATGATGAGAGCGCATTTATAGCCTGAATGGGTTGTAAACAAAATGACACTATACAGGAAAACCTCAATTTTGAAATGGGGATGTAACTATTTTTGTTTTGGTTTTGTTGCCAATCATTGCGAAGGCCTATTTCTGTGGTTGGGCCATGTGGGTGGCTGCTCTTTAACCACTGCAGGCATTATGGTGCTAGAATAATGGACATTCCTCACAAATCTGACCAATGTTTGGTAGCAAAAATCAGTGGGATTGTTATGGATATCCTTTTATGGTATTTACTCACAATATGTTGCAGTGCAATGCAATATGGAAATAGAAGAGTTTAAAAAAACAAATATCAACACAATGATTGTTTTGTTACCAGCGGGGATTTAGATTGTATCAAGTCTGTTCATGCCTCGCTCATGCAACGAATTGCCTTCTAACTACACCTAGTTTGACTCCAGACTATTTATGATGTGATTGGGAAATGGCTTCAAGATTTACCTGTGCGACCTCTTAGCATTTGACTTGTATCATATATCATGATTCATGAGATAATTACTATTTAAGTCTGGACTCTAAAGTAAATGGACTTGGGTCCATGTGCAAACGTCCAGTACTTGTCTAAACTTTGGATCCTGGCACTCCTAGGCTGTGACAGCTAAATATTTGGCTCTAGCCAGCGTCAAGAGAATGAATGCAGTGTCCTGATTTTAATATCAAAAGCAGTAACGAGGGCCAACTGCTCGAGAACGGATCGGATAGATTCAGCTGTACCTGTGTACCTCCACTATCAACAACGGAATTAAATAATGCATTTCATTTCACACATTGAACATCATGCGCAATATTCTCACTCATTTTTTAAAAGGTATGGACCCAAATAGGTAACACATTCAAAGCATGCAACATTTTAAATATCATAACTGTGGGGCATCACACAAGCCACTCTAGTAACTCCACAATCAAAGGATTCCCTTTTGAAGCCAAAAAACATCAAGGGGTAGACAGTCTAAAATATAAAAATTTAGAGAGGAAGGAAGGCAATCACATTAGCATCTGATTAGTAACTCCTGCCCCAGTAGGTCCACTTCTTTGCAGGCTTACCAGAGGCAAAGCAAAGAGTCCCTGCATAAGTGTTGGATTCAAGTTTTAGAATGACACAATTTCCTATATTACAATTATACAAAACCTTTTAAAAGAAGTTCCAACAAAAAGCAGTGAATTACTATTACACAATCTTGGGTAGAACTCACCCCAAAAGCTAGCTATTAAGGTGAGGGTGTCCTCACGCTTATATGCTTAATATTACATTAGTATTCAGGCGATGTGAGACTTCACTTCACAATAACATAAATTATAGAAAGATCATATTATGTTTGGTCTCCTAAAACCACAATACCATTAACCAATAAGAATAATTTTAAATTAAAAAAATAAATAAATAAACTAGACAATGTATTATGTACGCTTATGTTTTCCTTGGGGGTATTTATATACTTTGGATCTTATTAATACAAGTGTCCAAGAGAATAACCCTTATTCAGAAAGGGTCCCTCTTTTTAGACATACAATGTATTCTTCATCCCACATTCGACATGGACACACCACATTCTTAGAAATATTTGTGCTTCTTAGAGCTGTAGCAACAAGCTCCTTCCACATATCCCTTCCCACACTATCGTCCATAAGATCATAAACCCTTCTAAAAACACATCGAAAACCATCCTCTACACCACCCTCCTATCCCATGTTACCAGAACACCATCCTCATTACCTTCTAATGCAAGGAGATATAACTACATAAACCAAAGAACAAAGCAAACCACATCCTCCAAACACTTTTAATCTCAAAGTAGTTAAAATTAGATATGTAGTCCTATTTTTTTTCAAAATTTCTCTGAAAGGTATCACTGCAATTATCGTAAGAGGTCATGGAAGACTATGAGCATTGTTGCATTTTACATGCTCATGCATTCATCTCAATTAAGAAATTGAGTAATGTCTAGATGCTCTTTGTCTATGAAGCACGGATCCTTCAAAAAGGGTGACGTATCCGTATCGGATACTTATCGGATACCGATACTCCTCGAATACTCGCGGATACGTATCGGATACTTCTTAAAAGTATCAGATACTTCTCAATTAATTTTTTATTAATTTTGAAGTATCGGATACTCGAGGTTATATATTACTTATAATATTTTGTTTAGTTCTTTGATAAGAGGAATATAGTGAGAGTTAAAAGTAATAGAATTTGTCAAATTGATGTATCCTTGTTGTCTCTCTCGCTTTTTCACTTTCTCACGTTTCTTCTCTCTGCTCTCATTCTTTTTTTGGTGTTGGCATGCAAGGATGATGTTTAATTTGCATTTGCATTTGCATTTGCTTTTGCTTTTAGTTTTGGATGTTTTATGAATGTTTGAGCACTTTTAGGTTAATAGGAATCCCTCTCCTTATTTATTAATTTACTTTAAGTTTTATTTTCATGCATATTACATTATTAAAATTATATAAAATAAAAAAAAAAATTATGAATGTATCCCCGCTGTACTCGTATCGTACTTTTTCAAATTTTGACATATCACCATATCCACATCCCCATATTCGTATCCGTGCTTCCTAGGCTATCATTGATGACTTGAAAAAGTATATTTGCTGAAATTTTTATTTAAGAATGGTTTTTTAGCTTTAGCTAAGGTCTTGTGATATTCAATGATGAAGGGGAACAAGTTGAAGCTATTGACCTTGAAGACTCTTAGTTTTATAGGAATCTTTCTTTTTTATCAAGTTGTCTTTTGCTTTAGGTTTTATTTTTATGCATACTGCATTACTAAAAATTGTTAAAATAATATTTTTTACGAACGTATCCCCGCCGTACCCGTATCCTAGTTTTTCAAATTTTGTTGTATCGCCGTATCTGTATCGTATCGTATCCGTATCCCGTATCCGTATCCGTGCTTCCTAGCTCTTTGTAGATTGTTCACCATAACATAGGCGCACTGATACAATAAATAATATTTAATGCTTTTGAACCAAGGGGATGTAGCCTGTGTGGTTAGTCCTTTGGCCATAAAATCTTACAAAGTCTTTCCTAAGGAGAGGTCTCGGGTTCCACTCTTAGGTGTGGAATGGGAGGCAAGACTTAGTGCTTGTAAAGAGAGGGTGTAAGTTCAACTCCCCTTAGGTGTTAATCTAACAACAAACCACTAACTTTCGCCGATCAAAAATAAATAAATAATATTTAATGCTTTTGTTATTGTACATGCAGTAGAGATAACATAAAATGGCTGCCAAAGCTAATGTTTTAGATAAAAAACATCCAAGAATTTTTAACTTGTAGATTTGTAGAAAAAAAGAGCACATAAAGGAAGCCATTTGACCAAAGATACACCAAAATATTTTCATTATGTGCTAGTTGGGCTTCTTTGGTATTTATTTAGTTAATAATTTGTCCATTAAAATTGTTTCTTGTCTTCATTGGTTGTATGTATCTATTCCTTGTTTCCTTCTATAACAACGTCCTCTTCCTGTTAAGGAAGATCCGAACAACAACAATAAAGATAAAATTCACATACAACTAATAAAAGTACCTGGATGAAGTTCTGGCTGGTCAAACGGAGAGCAAAGTGTCTTGGCAGCTCCCATCTCACCTTTTGTTCTTGCTTTCACATCCTTCTCTACTTCCTATCATAGTTATCAAATCGAGAATCATATGGTGAATCACGAATCAAATAGCATCAACAATCGTTAAGATTCAGTACAGACTATAAAAAAAATGTTAAACAATTATATAAACGAAAAAATCAAACCAAGCCAAGCCTTAAGTCCCATCAAATGGGATCGGCTACATGAATCCTTCTTCTCCACGCGGCCCTATCAAAGGTCATTCATTAGTCAAATTAAGTAGATTCATATTTCTATTTGCAACGCTAGCCAACGTTAATCTAGGCCTACTCCATCCCCTAACACTTCCATCTACCGTTACAGCATTGCATTCACTACTGCTATTGTTGGTCTCCATTGAATATGACTAAACTATCTCAATTGATTCTCTCTCAACTTATCTTCTATCGGTACTACTCTTACCCATTGCCGAATACACTCATTCCTAATTCTGTCTTGTCTAGTCTTACCACACATCCACCTTAGCATTCTCATCTCAACCACACTCATCTTATCTACATGTTGTTTCTTGGTTGCCCAACACTCCGTCCCATAGAACATTACTGGTCTAATAATCGTTCTATAGAACTTAACTTTTAGTTTAGTAGGTATTCGTTTATCACACAATACCCCAGACGCACTTCTCAACTTACACCATCCCCCCTTAATCCTATGGGTTACATCCGCATCAATCTCCCCCGCTGTTGTGATAATCAAATCTAAATAACGAAAATGTTCACTCTTAAGCAGTTCTTGATTCTCAATTTTCACTTCTCCTCTGCTTTCATTGTTACTGTTACTAAATTTACACTCTATGTACTCTGTCTTAGTTCTGCTTATCCGGAATCCTTTAGATTCAAGAACTTTTCTCTAAATCTCCAAATTTGTGTTAACTCCTTCTCTAGTCTCATCCACTAGCACAATATCGTCTCCAAAAAACATATACCATGGCACGTCATCCTGAATATTTCTCGTCAACTCATCCATAACTAAAGCAAAAAGATAAGAACTTAAAGGTAGATTTTTAGTGTAACCCTACAGTGATAGGAAATTCATGTCTCTCCAGCTAGTGATCTAATAGTGGTCACCACTCCTTCATACATGTTCCTAATCACATCAATGTAACATTTTGTCATCCCTTTCTTCTCTAACAACCACTATATTATATCCCGGGACACTCTATCATATGATTTCTCAAGGTCAATAAACACCATATGAATGTCTCTTTTCTTTTCTTTATACTTTTCTATTACTCTTCTCAAAAGATAGATCGCTTCCATTGTTGACCTGCCAGGCATAAACCCAAATTGATTCTCTAACACCTCTGTTATATCTCGCAATCGACATTCCATCACCCTCTCCCACACTTTTATTATATGACATAAACGAAAAAGAATGAAATAAATTAATTTTTCACATATGTAATTAAACAATTCTTATATAAGCACACGATTACACCATCAAATTGGGAACACATTGCCTTCTTATAGTAGGAGATGTGGATCAAAATCCCACCAACCATAAAATATTCAAAAATCATAATATAATCTCTTAACATAGAAAAAAATGGGCATAAGAACCCTATATAGAGTATAATAAGAAGAATTGAGTAAAATTCTTTATTTTAAAACCTAATAAAATGTATGCATATGCTTATTGTTTAGGGAAAAAAAAAATTAAAAATTGTTGTGGAAGGGTTTGACCAAACATACCCATATTATACTAAACCATATTTATTTTACTAAAATAGTAGCTGATAATTCATGGGTGTAAGTTACTTTAACTTCAAGCATCTTTAGAAGATGTACTACAAACTACGTTACACGGACTCGGGTGTGGGTATTGGGTGCGGGTGCTTATCTGGGGGTCAGACACTTCAAAATTAAAAATTGAAGATACGTGGATATGGATCCAAATGTGGATATGGGTACGGGGATACGTTATATATTATAAATAAAAAATAATTATAATAAATTATGCTTAAATTAAATGTTTTGTTTTATAAATTTTTAAAATTTTTTTTTGTTATATATGATTTAAATAGATTTTTTTTAAACAATTAAATGATTAATTTTATTTATTATATCTTAAAAAGTTAAGAAATAACAATTAAATGATTTATTATATTATATTTTATTATATCACAGTATTTTCCCCCAAACCACTCTCTCTCTCTTCTCTATCTTCTTTCGTCTTTACCTTTACGTCGATTTGAACCTCTACGGTGGCGGCGACACCGCTTCTCTCTCTCTCTCTCTACTAGATTTGGAACCAGACCACATCGCGCGACCACATATCACCACGATCATAGATCTGAAGGGTGGATGACGGCGTGGGCTTCGCAATCCAGATTGGGGTTTCGGCTGTTGTTCATAGCGGCACAAAAGACTGAAGAAGACGATCGAAACCCTACAGTTTTAGCCCTAATCCCAGGTATTCCACCGTATTCACTTTCTATATGCCGTATCCTGTTCGTATTCCGCACCTGTACCCGTGTCGTGTCGTGTCGACACAGGTACTTCGCCAAAACTGGACAGTCCGTGTAACGTAGATTACAAAGGTTAAAAACATGTCTGATCTAATTGGTCATATTAGAAACTCTCTAATCACCAAAATAACAACAAACCATGCATAAGTATTAGCCATTTCCCTACTAAACACATTTAAAGTTATGTTATGTCCTTTTTATTTAAAAAAAAAAAAAGTTAAAAAAGGTCTTTGGACACGATATTTCCAGAATTGCATGAATCGTTTAAAGTTAATCAAATCGTGAATTGTACAATTCACCATAGATGCTATCTCAAAATAGATTCACCCATAGATTCGTATTGATCTAAGAAAATTGTGAATCAAATTGTGAATTGTAAGATTCTGATAACAAAACTTCCTACGGATAATAGATCACATATTACAAGCACTCAGTATATACCAACAATTGCATATACTAATAGCTATAAGTAGTAAAATAACAAATTTCAACTAAAGAAAATATAATTTGTTGGATCTAATAACAAGAGATTAGGTAACACATGGTTTGTTGGATATAATGAAAATTATGAAAACCAAAGGCAGGAACCAAGCAGAATGTTTGGCTTCAATTTTCAGAATTCAATTTTCTGCAAATTGAGTTTTTTGTTTTTCATATTTTTTTGTTTTTAGTGAATATTTTTAAAATTATAAGTAATTTTTTTAGTTTTTTAAATGCACCTTACTTGAATGTATCTAAAAAGTAAAATATTTGTAAAAAAATATTTCAAAAAATCAATAAATACACAAGAATACGAAAAATGTATTGAATTCTCATTTTTTTTTTTTTTTGTATTTTGGTATTTAGTGAATTTTCTATAGATTTTTTTCACAAATATTATACCTTTTTAAGTGTATTTATATTAGATGTATCTAAAAATTAAAAAAATTGCTTAGAATATCAAAAAAAAAAATTCAAATTTCTGAAAAGTGAATCCTGGAAATCAAAACCAAACAATAATGCCCCAAATTGAGAAGTGGCTAAAAGTGTCAAGAAGAGAAGCCTACTCATGGACGGTCAGTGAATAAACAATGATATTCTTAGCATATATATTCAAGCACAATGAGTGCCTTACCTCCTCATTGCACCAAGGAGCTAAGATCATTTTCTTTTGGTTAAGTGCTTCCACGAATTCATCCCATGTCTTTACAACCTTAATACAAGCATCTCGTTTTTGCTTTGCAGCATCAAACAAACTTTGTTGAATATCAGCTAACATGCCATTGACTCGCTCAGCCAACTCATCATTCACAGGGACATCCACTTTTGCTGAATTGTCACGGCGAACAGCACGTACCTGAAAACCATATTAAAGCATTTTGTAGATATTCCCATGAATCTACTAAACCATTCACACCAAATTATTAATACCATCTCCTCGTGAAATGTCAGAGTAATCCAAGGTAGCATGATTTGAACAAAATGTGCTATACTTAATAATGTGAACTAAGTTTGTTCCATTTCAACCGGATTACTTGAATTCTAAAATTACCAAGTTGAGAAATATAATATGTAATGAATCCATTTTACCCATAAGGAACCTAATTTCTTACTTAATGCCCATAAATGCCTTATCCTATGGGGAATTTAAATACCCACTAATCCTTCATGTACAATCAAGGAAGAGTTTAAATTGAGAAATATAGCCCAGCCTTGGTTTAATACCCTTTACGTGTTGATAATTAGCCTCGACTAGGATCATTTATCAAATGATATAGAAATAAATTAGTATATAAGTTGGGGAGATCCCTGCAAACTAAGGTGTCTAACATTATAAATGCTAGCACATGAAGATGGTCAAGCCAATGATCAAGGGAAATTCAGACTTGAACAATACTCCTCACTCTTTACAGCCACAGCCTGTGTCAGGATGGAAATGGACATTAGCTAAATCTGGGAATACTTTATGCAAACAACTTGGAAACAATAAGAAATCTGAAAATCTTGAACCAAAGGCTCCATGGTACACAACAGTTTGGATTCCTCAACACACCCCACAAATGTGCCTTCATACTATTGTTACTCTCCCTCTAGTTTTGACTTTTCTCTCTCTAGAGCTTCCCATCGTGGCCAACTATGGTGAAGGGGCCATGAATTCCCAAGACCTTAGAGACCCCTACCCATTCCTTACCCATGTGTTCCATCTTTCTATCTTTATGGGTTTGATTTGTATACTCTTATGCTTACTAATTTCTTTTATTTGAGGGTACCTATGGTTGATTTCTCTAAGAGTTCCAATCTTTTGTCCTGGACCTTCATCGCCAGAGGGATGCTTCAGATCCATCTTGACAAGGTTTTGTTCTTAGCTGGATCATGATCTTTCTATGGGTGCTTATTGGAGCCTAGGATTCATTGATGGTGAGCATTGATTTTATCTTTGCTCCTTTTTATCCGGCTCTATGGTGAAGAGAGCTAGTTGGGTGACGTTTCTTACTTAGAAACGCGATTTTGCACTCTTAAGAAAGAAACTTGTAAGAAACTCACTCCAAACTAAGATAGAACCTCCTAAACATACAAATCTCAACAAAAAAGAAAAAAAAAAGGGCTCAAACTTACTCTAATATTTTCTATTTGCATAACATTTATTTGTATTTGACAAAGACAATTTGTAGTTGATATCAAGCTCTAATAATAATTTATATTTTAACATATACAATACAATTTAAAAAAAAAAAAATCATTGTTAGAATATATTAAATATACTCAATATAAAAATATATATACATGCTCCCATAAACACTACCAATTTTAGAAACTTCTTTATGCCCTCGCTCCCCTGCCCCCGCTTCATGCAACTAAGATTGTAGCAGAGTTCACGCGTGGCACCACCATAGACTAGTGAGGGTGCTAGTGTCATGGAGAGGAAAGGAACTTAGGCTTACTGTTCTTGCCTTGTTTTGGGGTTGTTTTATCTGATATGGTGATGTTTGGTTTGGAATTTTTGCAGGCTTTGGTCTGTGTACGAAGTCTGCAAGCTCGTGCTATGGCAGATAGTATTAGGAACTGTGGTTATCTCGGTTGTGCAGCCAGCAACTGGTTGAACTAGCAGTGAAAGTGCTGACTACTCTGACTAAGGCTGTGGTTTTTGGCATGGGTTGGTGCATCTTGCAAGGTCTTCACAGAAAAGGGTTCATGAGTCTTTTTGTCGGTTGATTTGCAGCACATCTCATGATCTTCACCGTGGGCACCATGGAGGTATAAAATGACTGCTTCACAAGAGCAACCGAAACGTAGGCTTTGGGGGGACTACTTAGGCTAGGGCTTGTTGACATATTATAATCACCGAAAGGCACTTAGCATATTATATTAGCCGAAAGTCTCTAGGATCTGTAATCATTTTTACGCACTCAGGGATTATCTTGTAATTGTCTTCTTTGTAAACCCTAAATCTTCATTTATAAATAAGGGGTGATATCTCATCATACCCTAAGCTGGTTACCCAAGCTTCAGGGCTATGGTTTTGGCATGGCCTGGTGCATGTTGCAAGGCCTTCACAGGTAAGGGTTTGTGGGTCTTTCTGCTGATTGATTTGTAGCACAACTGGAGGTCTTTGCTCTGGGCACCATGGAGGTAGAAGATGACTACTTCATAAGCACAACTGAAACTGAAGGGTTTGGGGGGCTTTTTGACCAGCTGATTGTTCCACCTACCATTTTGATCTTTTGATCGAGAACGTACATGTATCACCAATCTAGAGTACCTTTATGGAAGATTATGGAAGATTTCCAAGTCGTCCACCGCCTTGTACATATCATAGACTCCCTCCTCCACAACTTTAAATTCACTGAGACTCTTGTGAGAAAAGTTATGGCAATCTCCATCCTCAAAGATCTCAAAATTAGATCCACACTCAATGCAAAACCCCACTTTTTGGTTGCAAATACATGAATCCTCCTTTGCAAACCCTGAAGTTCCTTGTAGTAATTGCCATGCTCGTTGTGACATATTTCACAGCCTTTGACTCCTTTCATCACCCCGCAGAACGTCTTCTAAGGCCTTTGACTCCTTTCTGAACTTGAATGTCGACATCATCTATAATGTTTGGGTGGGATCTGTTTTGTTTTGTTCTGAACTAGCAATTCAAAATTTGTGTTGCTTGTTGTGTTGAAATGTGGCCCATGTTTTAATGGATGGACAAAAGTGAATGACATCTTCTAGTTTGTTCAGTTTTAATTGCCACGGGTTAGATTGCTACATGATAATGGCAGTGTTCATTTGCTAGCTATTTTATGCCTTTTTCTTAGTGCTAGTGTTTTGTGCATAGCCCCCCTTAGGGTAAGGGAAGCAGAATTTGTTCTCTCTCAACTTATCTTCAATTGGTGGTACTCCTATTTCACAAATATTCATTTCTAATTCTATATTAACTAGTCTTACCACACATGCATTTAAGCATTATACTCTTAGCTACATTCTTTTTATGAACATGTTTCTTAACATTATTTTCCATAAAACACCATTAACATTATAGCTAGTTGTTCCATAGATTTTTCCTTTTAATTTTGTTGGAATCCGTCAATTACATAATATTCTATAAGCATTCCTCCACTCAACATATTTTGATTCAATGGATCACATCATCTCCAACTTCTCCATCCTTATTACTAATCGAACAAAAGTAACAAAAATATTCACTATTTGCAATGTCCTAGTTTTTATCTTTCTGCTCGATTATTTCTACTTCTATTGTTACTAAAGTTACATTTCATATATTTAATTGATATAGAACACTGTAAAGTTCATAGATAAATATCCAACGTCACATCAAGACAATAGGTTGAGTTGGTTATGGTCTATCACTGCCCCTTATAGTGTAAAGTTAATATGTGATAGCACAATGAATACAAGAAAAGTTGGGCATAAAATTGATAAGTTGAGAAAGGTAATAGAAAACGACAGCATACCTGATTATTAGCCAAGTCTTTGGGTCCAATTTCAATTCTCAGGGGAACACCTTTCATTTCCCAATGCGAGTACTTCCAACCAGGTGAATAGTTATCTCTAAAATCTGCCTCAACACATAAACCAGCTTCACTCAAGGTAGCAACTGTTGTTTTGCAGAACTCTATAATCTTTTGTGTGTCAACATCTTTATAAGGCACTGGAATCACAATAACTTGGATGGATGCCACTTTAGGCGGCAGCACTAAGCCCTTGTCATCCCCATGAACCATCACCATCACCCCAATCTGAAGTTGGAAACTAATGAGAACAAACACAAAAAACTACTCACCGCAGAATGGCTTTGTAAAACAGGGAAAAAATTTTGGCATGCTAGAGTGAATGTGGTCAATCTTAAAAGCAATGCTCTCATTGAATTTGAAATTAAAAAAACAAATGAATATATCGATACAAATGGCAGTAAACATGAATATGTTTGCTTTTTTACTTGTCTCTGTGTGTGTGTGTGGAGAGAGAGAGAGAGAGGTGAAACAAAAACTACCTTGGAACTAGATTGCTCAAAGAAACCGAAAGCGAAAGGTAGAGGGGAACAAAACTGCCCCAAAACTAATTGAATAGGGAATTAATAAATATATAAATGAAAATTGCCTCAGAGGTCTAGATGGCTCAAGGATGCTGACATGAGCACCCCTAAGAAAAAAAATTATATTACAGAAGGCCAACATACACCAATCTTTTAGCTCACTGACCAAAATCTGCAAAAAATATATATATATATAATTTTAAAAAAATCTAACTACTACAGCCCATTTGGTTATGTTTTCGTTTTCTATATTCATTTTTCAGGAAACTCAGATTGTTTGGCAAACTGTTTCTGAATAACAGTTCTGGGGAAATATTTCTGAAAACAACAAAAAGTTGTTTTCGAATCAAAAATTGTTTTTACATAAAAATGAAAACAAGTGGTTTCTTATCTACATTTTTTATTTCATTGTTTTGTTTCTAAAAGCATGAGAAACAAAAATAGAAAATGAAAACGAAGAAAACAAACAACCACCAAACAGACCCAGCTATTGTTTCTAGACAAAATACCCTCATTGCTATTATATTATAAAGAAACTTCGACACTTAAATTAACTCTTCAGGAAATTTATCACTTGAGTTTTATAAACCTTTTTTTTAAGTTGAAGCAATTCAATTGTTTGATGGAAATAGGGGTGCCTCATTGTTAAATTTGAATTTTCTAATTTTTCTTTCAACACCCTATTTAATTTCAATATTACCTCCACCTAACCCCCAAACCCTAATCTCCTACCTCCACCTGGCCACCATCCACACTACCACTCCGGCAGCCACCTCCAGCACCTCCACCCCCCCATCCCCACCACTCACCTCCACCACCCCGCAAGCCAGCCCCCTCCTCCACTGTGACCCCCTTCCCCCGACGCAAAGCCCCAACCCAGCCCCACTCCCTGGTGCAAATCCCCAACCCAGCCCCACTCCCTGGTGCAAATCCCCCTCTCCAGCCAGGAACCCCTCCCAAAACCCTTCCCCCACCGTAAACCATCACCCCAGTTCCCTTCCCTGGATATATCCTTGAGAGAGAGAGAGAGAATAGATTTAGGGTTTGGGGAAGAGGAAGAACAAGGAAGACGAAAAGAAAAAGAACAAGTGGGTTGCAGTGGTGGCAGCTGTGGAGGGAAGGGGCTGGCTTGTGGCGGCTAGAAGTGGGGAGGGGGTGGGGCTGACCAGGGAACTAGGATCTCGGGGGAAGATGGGGAGGGATGAGGGGTGGCAAAGGGAGCTGGGAAGGAGGCTGGGTGGTTGCTGGAGATGGCTGCTGCAGTGGCCAAAGTTGGGTAGGGCTTTAGGTGTTAGCCTTTTGGGTAATTTAATTTACGGGTATAGTGGTATTACAAAAATGAAATGAGACATGTCCAACCAAAATTTTAGGATGCATTTAGAGGCTCCCTGAATATGGCAATAAGATCACTAAAATTTGGCAGTTTTGTCCCTTGTATTGATATCAAATGGAGAAGGCATTTTCTTCGAAAGTTGCAACTTCAGATGGAAGTTTAAGAATAGAATTTGGTGTTCTGGCCACTAATTTACAACTAGATTAAGCTTACCAAAACCAGACAAGTTGTTTTCCAGATTCATAATTCTGAGAATCTCAAACATTCTTCAAATAATTCGGTCTAATAATGTTTGAACTTGGAAAAAGGTACTTAATGTTGTCTTTCAATGAAGAACTTTCAAGATTAAAAAAAATGCGGACTTTCAACCAAAAAAGTAAGTCGTAAAAATTGAGTGCAACCCTTAAGCTATCGAAGTCCAAATTTGCAACCTTGCACCAAGAGTAATTTAGCTTTTATAGTGGCCATCCTTTGCCTCTTAAATCAGCTATGAACTAAAAAAAGCTGCAAGCTAGCTGTCATTCTAAGCATAAACACCAAAAAAAAAAAAAAAAGACCATTCAGGATTACCGGGAGAAAAACTCCATAACAAATGGAATACAGATTAGAAAAACACTTCTGAAGTCTGCTGAGTTTTGCAGTCATTGAGAATGGATCCAACCATTCCAAGGTTAAAACAATTTAAGAGGAAGCAACCAAAGTAATCGAAAACAGACAAATACACTAAAGAGAAAAAAGGTTAAGCATTGAAAAACATCATGGTTTCTCACAAAATTAATATCAGAGAAGAGATATAAAGACGTCTAAAAGGATAATGAGATAGCAACTAAAGGGTGTTCTACATTTACAAAAACAAGTAGAAGAGTTTACCGTTCGAGTACTATATGCCCAAGAATTTTGCCAAACCATAGACTTTTCTCCCTTCTCATTCTCAAAATTTATCTCAAACATTTTAGCAAAATTTTGACCCAAGCAATGTGATGTGGCACCTTGTATACCTCGCCCAGTGTTTGGGATGAAGGCCTAGGAAGCAATTGTAAACAAATGATGATATGAAAAGATATACTTAAAAACACCAAGGGAAAGCCAAACAAGAAAAAAATATAAGTATAACGTCACAAAGGACGAAGGTAATACCTCAACACTTGTCGTATAAAGGCCACCAGCAAATTTCTCTAGCTCACTCTTCTTACCCTTCACAACAGGTATTGCCAGATATTCTTCATATATTCGTCTATATAGTTCCAATATCTCAAGGACCTAGGGATTAATAATTACATTCCAGCACCAAATTAGAGTTAGAAAGTAAAGCTTCCAATACAACAAACCACTACAAAAGACAAGATGTGAAGCATCAAGCATGACAGTAATAAGGCAAGAAGAGTGCAAATGTGAGCGATTCCATACCTCAGCATCAGCCTCTGCCTTTGTTGCAAAAGCTGTATGCCCTTCTTGCCAAAGAAACTCTCGACTCCTACAATCACAAGAGCAAAAACATACATGCCAAGGTTTGAAATTCACATATCATTTGAACAATGCGAATTTTGTAAACATTCTAGTATAAATATGCTAAAAAAATAAGTACAACCACATAAAGATATTGCAACTGAGAGTGTTAAACACTGATCAACAGTTTTTTGAGCAATATAATCCCAAAACATGCAAACTGCCAGGGAACACATAATCAACACAGCATATCATCTCCCTTCCTTATCAATGGATAACAAGGGCAAATGAAAATTTGTCATACACTAACAAATTGCTTCCCTCTATCGGATCTAAGCATAGGGCAATCGCAGAGTGAGCGGATTTTCTATTATTAAGAAGGGAAAAAAAGAAAAAAACTTAAAATGGATGTAAGACTCATGATATAAATTGATTAGGATTTAGGAGCTTTTTTCGCTCCATATCAGCATAACAGTGAGTAAATCCTTTCAAGCTTAGACGACTAAACTGAGTAATGGAGAAGTCCTTCTTCTGAAATCAGAGTGAAATGTTAGAAGAAATGCTTTCACATAAAATTTTATGGGGATAGAAAGAAGTATAGACATGATATATTTTTCTTTTAATAAGGAAGATAATTAGAAGGGAAGCAACCTTGGACACACAGAGAATACAAAATCTAAAGAAAAAGTGTATAACAAAAACAAAAAAAACAATGATGAACACCTTCCTGGCATGGGAGGAAACTGCTATAACAATAGGTTAAATGGAAGAAACACAACTTCTTGCAGTTTTCTAAAGGTAATTGAATAACAATGAAATGATATTGTTAAAAATAGTCAATCAAAGGCTAACAAGTGTGCGCTTTCAATAAAATAATCTGATTGCAAAAATGGACGCCAACAGGTCTGTAAGGGAGTACCTAATGAATGGAGTAGGATGACTGAACTCCCATCGAACAACATTACACCATTGGTTTAGCTTTAATGGCAAGTCACGGTGCCCTCTTATCCATTTCGAGTAATATGGATACATAACAGTCTCACTTGTAGGACGAATAGCAATGGGCACTTCTAACTCAGATTCTCCAGATTTTGTAACCCAAGCAACCTAAATAAAATTTTTGAAAGAAATAAAACAATATAATCCTAAAAGAGGTGAGAAAGAAAAAAGGTAACATTGCTTCTCATCATATATGTACAACAGGAAATACGCTATTAATGAAAAACAGCTCAAGAAATTCAGCAAAACTAGACACCAGCAGACAAATGAACATTTTTTTCTTTTCCGTTGGTATCATTAAAACACACACAAGACACCACCCTTATATCAACTGAAACTTGAATCCTGTACCATTCCCAATGACAGGTCAACTATATTATATCATACTTGCACCACAACCATACATTACAGAGAGGAGAAAAAATAACAATAAGATAAAACTGTATCACTAAGGAAAAGGAGAAACAAATACATGCTGCAAATCATGGCTCCCTTTAAAATTACTAATAATCCAAAAATACTCTAGAAAAGACAGAAAGCATTCAAGAATTTTATTGATTTGATGAAGGCAGAAAAGAAGTGTAGGCTTTTCCAATTAGTAAGACGGCTTACACTTGATTTACATTTAACGTGCTATTTGAGTACTCACCTCAGGGGCAAACCCCTCAATGTGATCTTTTTCTCGCTGCAAGACACCCGGAGAAACAAAAAGAGGGAAATAGCAATTTTTTATCTTCATCTTCTTTATTTCACCATCAAAAAAGGCCTGCACAGTTGACAGTATTGAGATTTGAATAGTAACAAGAACAAAAGAGAAATTACGAAGGGGGAGCATGAACTGAATCAGCTGCATATGATTATTTTGAACATAGCAAAGAAGCAAAATCACACCAAATAAAAAGTAAGCTGAAATTAGAGACAATAATCTAAAACTTCAGCACCACAAAGAAACCAATATGAAGTGATTATTAACTCACCAATTGTTCCAAAAGCTTAAGCTGTTAGGAACAAGGCCCACTAATGTATATCAAACTATCCAACACCCTCCCTCACGTACAAACCCGTCTTGCACATGAAGAGACAAACCAAACCAAACCAAACCAAACCAAACTCCGCCAGGGTTGTTAACAACTCCGCCGGTCTCAAGCTCGGGTTAAGGAGGAGGGTTGTGTGTTAGGTAGCCGACAGCCAACACATAAAAAATTCGCTCGGATCCCTTATGAAAATGAACCCTACTTTGAATGGTTCACATGAAGAGACAGAGAGAACCAAATAGAAGGAGAAGCAAACAAACAATCAATCAATAAAGAAGAAATTACCAAACAGAGATAAAATACCAAATGCCGATGGAGAGACTTGAACCCAAGACCTCTCAATCTGAGCTCTAATACCATATTAAATAACCAATTGTCCCAAAACTTAAGTTAATAGGAAATGGGCCCAACAATATATATCAAGATATCCAACAATGATAACCATATTCTGACACATAGAAGAAATGGGTTCCATAAACACATAAAAGCGCCTTATGAAATAAGAAGCGCGGATACGAGTACCGATATGGGACATGGACACAACACAACATGGACATGCAGACACGACATTTCTCTAAAAATGGACACGTTATAGACACTTTGAATAAAATATATAAATATTTATATTTATCTATATTAATACATAAGACAAATTCTAAAGACCCACAATTTCAGACCCAAGAATACACTCACAATGATGTGGCAAAGGAGTTGGGCCCTATATAGTATGTGACAAATCAAAAATTAACACCTATCATGCACATCATTGTGGGTCAAATTAGGGAAACTTTTTTAGGGGTCTCAAACATTTTCCAATATATAAATGGGCTACACCATTTGAATCTAAGTTTCGAAGTTCAGTGGATTTTTCTTTACCTAAAATATACATGACAAATGTATTATACCCAGTTCCGTTGAGTTATATCTTTATTGATTTCAAGGTTAGTTTATGGAAATACACATTAGAGATAAGCACGCCTTATACCAAATTAGTAACTGAAATAGTTTCTCAATTTCTTATGCCTGTAACTGAATCAGTTTCTCAATTTCTGATCCTGAAGCACACTCTGACGCATGACAAACCAATGATCTCTCCTTCCCACAAACACAAATCTTATTAGTTGCCAAGACATGAAGGTGGGGGATTCACATCAGCGACGACCTTGACGATATTGGCAACATCGAGGAGGACAAAGCCAAAAAGAATGGGGCAACAAATCATCCTACTCCAAGGAAGAGTTTCACCCATCTAGCTTGGACTTCTTCAACATATAGTTTCCACAGGTTGAAGAAGAACTGGCTGCATTGGACACTCCCACGTATCGCCACGACTATAACTTTTCTTTTTGTTTCATTAAGTTTTAGTTGTTCTCAATGTACTATGTCAGCAGCATCGTTGCATTTGAACTGGGTTTGCTTCTTAAATTATGAATAACATAGGGTATGTTGATTTATCATGCCAATTTGCAGCATGATACAACTAAATGTAATGCATATGGAAATTTTATACAATGTTTTTATTAAGAATTTACACAATATGTGCATATAAACAAATATACATATGGAAAAAAAATTTAAATGCCTGCCTGAATTTTGTTGTTCAAATTGGCAACATGAACAAGTTCAGATATATAGATATACGTGAGCATAACAATCTGTTACATACTTGGGATTTAATTGTTTTGGGTTTTTAATTATTTTTAAAATTTATATGGTTTTGTATTCTTTAAAAATAATAATAAATAAATAAAAACAACCACCACCAGTTGGATATATGAGTTTTGAGTTGGGATATGTTTGTTTGTTTCTATCTTTGTAATGTGATATTGACTTTCGGGATAGATGTTTGGGTGTGTGTGATAAAGCCTTAGGAAAGAAAGAGAAGAGAGAAGAAAAGAGGGGAAGAAGAAGAGGGTCCTAGACCTAACACAATGGCCACAGCCTAAAAAATCAATTTCTCATTGGTCCAAGCTGAAGTATAAATGTAAACCCTAACATTTATAAGTCAAGAAATCTCATCAAAATAGGAAACCGAATCCTAATTGAATAGGAAAACAAATATTAGTAAAAATCATAACCAAACTAAAACTCCTAATTATGCTATAATTAAAATAAAATACTAAGATAAATTAAACAATAAATATTAAAGACAAAATTAGAAAATATCGTGCACACACGTTCCGCGTAAATGTGGGTTGGGGAAGTTAATTTTAGTTTAATTTATATTAACATAGTTGACAATATAATAGTAAATGCACACACGTGTGTGCCAACCTTGCAATATATTATAAATCCATATCAAAAACACCCATATTATTTCAATCACATTATGGATATAAAAAAAAACACAAATAAATAACAACTGATGAGACAAGTGGCAGCATAATACTGAAGTCTATAAACGGAATGGCAAAGATGCTCCTAAGGCTCAAGTTTTGATTTGGCATGTGTTGGATGATGCCGGGCCCACATGAGAACTAGAATAAATTCAATCACATTATGGATATAAAAAAAAAAAACACAAATAAATAACAACTGATGAGACAAGTGGCAGCGTAATACTAAAGTCTATAAACGGAATGGCAAAGATGCTCCTAAGGTTCAAGTTTTGATTTGGCATGTGTTGGATGATGCCGGGCCCACATGAGAACTAGAATAAATTAATTTGAGTCTTTCATTTATTTATATTTATGTTTTAGGGTCAAGGGTATTTTTGTAATTTGCAAAATTTCTGGAGCGCGTCTCAATAAAGGGCCGTTGGGTTGACCCATGGGTCTTGGTATTGATTTAATATGTTTATGAGTCTTATTTGGTATTAGATAGGTTTTAGAAATCAAAGATTTTGTAGTAGTTTTAGTAGTTTCAGTAATTTCCTATTTTGATCCTAATTGGTTAAGGAAGTCTTCTAGTCCTATATAAGGCAATATATTGCTTCTAATAAAAGAACAATCATAATTTATATAATTTTCAGAGTTTTGAGCCTCTTTAGGATTTGTGTGTCGCAACCTAACCCTAAGCGTGATGACTAAAGGATTTGATCCTAATTGGTTAAGGAAGTCTTATAATCCTATATAAAGCAATATATTGCTTCTAATAAAAGAACAATCAGAATTTATATAATTTTCAGAGCTTTGAGCCTCTTTAGGATTTGTGTGATGCAACCCAACCCTAGGTGTGATGCCTAAAAGATTTTAGGAGTGATTCCTAATTTTCTTCGTCTTTTTTCTCTTTTCCTATTGCCTCTGTTCACAGATTACGACTTCCAGCCCATAGACAGTCTTTCTTCTGTCACAAATTCTTGTTTCCTTGCCCAAACCATTCATAACCAAACCCTAACCACCCCTAGCTTTATTTCACTAAACCTAGCCCTAAGTTAGCTTAAAACTTGCTTCAAACCTGCGTGTGCTGCATCAACAACATTATCAAGATAGCAAACACACAAAGCCACAAAATAAAAATTCAAGAACTAATCATCCATGGCATTTTTCATGTATTAATCGTTTAGAACTCCATAATTCCACCATTTGACATCATATAATTCCACCAAAAGTTCTCTAGTTTTATGCTATGATATGAATCTTATGAGCCATTATTTTTTAAAACTTCTCAAAATAAACCCTTAGTCTCTTTTTTTGAAAATCACAAAATGACCCAACGTGTTCTATGATGCGTCCAAACATGTCTGATATTCAAAAAAATTCAGACAACTTTTTGGGCATGTATGTGATGTGTTTGTGTCCCTAATGTATTGACAAATCTATTGTACATGCTTCATAAATCATGAACATATAATATCCCCCTATATAGATAATCAAGACAATAGCCACTAAAACGATGTGCTTTGAGCATGTAAAGCATTCGAATTGTCCCAAACAGCAAAATAATAACAACAATAGTGATAACCATCAACCTTACAGAAGAGAAGATGTTAACCCAAAAGGATCGTCTTCAGGGCAAAAATATATGAAAGACAACATTCATGGTCAGAAATTAGGAACCTGAAAGATTCAAGAATAGCAGCAATGGTAATAGACGTACTTGTCAGGGGAAATCTCATTTGGTGTCTTGGTTGGAGAATAGGCTCTTTTTGGTTCTTCATAATTAGGTTACGGAATTGGTGGATCCGGATGTGTTGGCCTTTGTAGATTGTGTGGAGGATTTGATTTCTTAGTTTTCTGGTCTGCTGTGGGCTGTAGTTTTTGTTTTCTTTGCATCTTCTTGATGCTTTTTAATAATATCTAACTTTATTTATCAAAAAAAATGGGGTGCAAAGTGAGATGATTTAAATCAATTGAAGGAAAATTGGAAAGAATAACACAAGTCGAAGTTTCCATAATTATTTATTTAAAATTATAGGTTCCATAGAGAATAAGAAAACTATGAAAATGCATCAATTGCATAGCATGATTGTGTTCAAATTCTAAGTTTTAATAGGAATGAGAGGATATGCAACTTGCAAGTCAAGTTGCACAGCTGAGGAGCTGATGGTTAGTTCTAATAATGCCACTAACAAGCCACGTAACTCACTACATGCTCTTTTTTCTTTTTTGGTAAGTCGAAAAAAAAAAAATTAATAGGAAAACTGCCAAAGAGGCACCACCCTTGTACAAAATGAAAACAAAACAACAGAAAACTATCCTCTACACTACCCCCCTTCTCAAGACTCCATAGAGTCAACAAACTCCAAAAAGAGAATCAGAAGAAGGGGTTCACCTTATCAATGGCCCAACTATACAAAAGACTCAAAAACTTGCTCCTTTTAACATGCACTAAGGTCTCAATCCAATCAAAAGACTCAGTTTCTTCTGCAATATACACCACATCAGGCATAAGGGTGCCATCTCGCGCACCTGAACTCTTGTTTTGATCATTTTTATACATCTAAAAAGTAAAATAGCTCCAATGGTGATCTCTGGAAAACCCAAAAACACCAAACAAGGTAGCATTGGTCTCCTTAACTCCATCACCACCCCACAATGAATAAGGCGGTTATCCACTGACTCCCCACCTCCTTGCACACATAACATTAAATTGGCAGGATATTTCTTCTCAGAATAGATCATCAATTGTAAAAATTTTCCTTTTGCTTCCACTCTGCGACAAAAGCAACCTTAGAAGGAGCTTTGGGTTTTCAAATTCCTCCTCAGTACATATGCTTAAAGTAAGAATCTTCACAGTAGAAAAAACTAGCCAGACAACTCACTAGTCCCTACATATACTTACTTGCATGGTTTCCCATATTGACATTGTCCATGGCCTCAAAATATAACAACCAGAGATATCATAATATTCGATCATTTCACCACTAACGACCACCTGCAAAAAGTCAAAACAAAAAAACATGTGCATAAACCATCTGCGTAAGAAAGTATACATGTGAAATCCCCTAGGAGACAACCCTGGTGGCTTAGGCCGCATTCCCCACAAATAAAGAGACTCAAGTTCAAGTCTAATTAACTTACCTATCGAGAAATATATATGCATGCAACCATATGTGCGCACAAATAAATGAAAGATACAGAAGACTGAATGCCACACTCAAAAAAGTAGTGTTTCCAAAAGAGAAAGGAAAACTGAAATTTTGTCTTTAGTTGAAGCATAAACTCAATGATTTCGTAAAAAATAATAAAAATAATAATAATAATAATCCTCCTTCATTGCATCATTATTCATTACGAGCACCCCTATGGCCAGTGTATGACAACTATAAATACCACTATATCCACAATTTGCAACTACTGGACCACCAGAGTTTGTTTAGTCAGGTACTAGTGCATATTAGTGGCATGGACACTTCAAATTCTGTTAGGTACCTTGGATGGACACAGCATTACTTTCTTTACCATCAAGTTACAAAAAGAAAAGAGATTTTTTTTTTCTTCTGTGCTTCTTAGAAAGTGATTTCCAAAATTGCAACCAGATTTTTCAATTAAGTTATAATAGAGAGATGTCAACAAGTTTGGTTACGCAAAGCTTCTAATAAGTGCAAAAGAAAAAATACTAAATTCAACAGAAAAATGTAATTGATACCTCGGAGTACCATTCCCCAAAATTCTCACCCTTCTTGTAGAAAAGCCCAAGCCCAGTCTCTTTTTTCACCTCCTTCTTTTTCCCTCCTGAAACTCTCAAGATTTAGGATTCAGGTCAACAAGAATATGCTATCTATCACAGATGAAGACGATGCAACCAATTAGATGAGTGTATGTGAGAGGTAGGAAAAAGAATCTCACCACTCTTGGCACCAACATTAGTTTTCTTAGCATCATTGGAAGCCATATCCTTCGATTTATATCAAGGAGACACCCGATAGCCTTTTTAAAAGAAGAAAAAAAAGTCACATCACATCCTCCATTACAACTATAGTTTCTGAATAACACGACACGGAAAATACATGCACGGATACGCAAATTTAAAACCACGATACGTACAGATCAACATAAATTGAAAATGAGAAACAAATAGTATCAATTTACCACATAAACAAAATACGCTAGGTGGGGATCGAGGGGAGAAAGAGAGGCAGAAAATGAATAGATGGATAGACAGATATACATACAATACATGCATATATTCATAAACGAGAAAATGCAGAGCAAAAAAAACAATGAGGAGTTGATATCAAGGGGTGAAGGAAAGAAATTTAAAATTGCCTACTATTGTTCTCCCAATCACAGAAAGAGATTGAGAGCAACACCTTTAGCAATGGCTGAATTTGCAGTTGACGGCGCAGAAACAGAGTAGAAGCTAGGCTAAGCTATTAGGTTTGGCAGTTTGGGGATTCTTTCAGTCACGCAGTCAACGGCGCTTAAATGGCCCTTTGTGATCTATTAATATTATCACTCCGTCCATGTAATAATGGGAAACACGATGGTACCCCTAAAGAAAAATAGTATATAATTTTATATTTTGTCATAATTAAAAAATATATATATTATAATCAAAAAATTAAAAGTTATGATTAAAATAATAATAATTAATAATTAAAGAAAAGTGTATATAATCGTTGTGTGACTTGAATGTATTAAACGATACCGTTTTGCATCCAAAACGATTTCGTGTTGAGAAATTTGAGTCATTTGAGCTAAAAAAATTTGGATCACCTAATATTGTTATTTTTCATAATGGGAATAATATAACATTCTTGTTGATACTGGCAAAACCCTAGTGAAATCAATTCGTCACATAATAAAAATAGTTTTAAAGTATTTACATATAAGTCTTAATTTATGAATTTATATTTCATTAAATCTTAATTAACATTTTTTGAATGTTCTAGTTTCATTAAATTTTTAATAGTTGAAATTGTCTTTCAAACAATGATTGTTTGTCATTTATGATTATATATAGACAAACATGATGATTTGACATATTTTGATTTTTAAAACTTTAAAATATCAATTTTTAAATTAAAAAAACAAAAAAAAAATTATGTACAAAAAGAAATGTTTTTTTTTTAAATAATTGAAAAAAATGAATTATTTTTTTGTGTAAAACTGAAATTTTGTGTCTATAAAGGAGTATGATGATGGAACATTGATGTGCAAAATTGAAAACAAAAAAAAATAAAAACTTCAAAAATAAAAAATTAATAATATTCTCAATTTTAAAACTAGAAAAAAAACTAATAATTTTCTCAATTTATTTGATAGTTGAATTAAACCAATAAGTAGAAAGACAAAAATATTTAACCTCATACTCTATTTTTTTCATCGGTTAGCGAAATATTTATCTAAAATATTACTATACAAAATTGATAATGTTCTTAGTTTTAAAAATTGAAAAAAAAAACTAATAATATTCTCAGTTTACTAAATAGGATTTATTGATTCAAAAAATCTTAGATAAGACATGAGTTACTATAATATTTATAAATAGGACTTTTAGATAACTAACTCTAGTTTAAATAGTATAAACAGAGGGATGTAAATGTATTTTTCTCAATCCATACATGTTTAGAGTCAGGGATGGACCGAGGGGGGGTTGGCAAGGGCGACAGCCCCCCCCCCAAAGTTTTGAAAAAAACCCCTGGATATAATATTAAAATTACAAATATTTTTAAATTATATAGATTCGTCACCCCAAAATTTTTTCAAAAAAAATTAAGAACCGCCACCCCCTAAATTTTCTACTTTAAAATTTAAAATTTTAATTATTTTTTTGATATATACTAAAAATAATAATAATAATAATTTATTTATTAAGTATAATTACTTTTTATTTTAAATTTAGTAATGTTAAAATAATTGATAATTTATTCGTTAATATGTTAAAGTCTTTTTTGTCTGATTAGGGCCCAAATTTTTTGATTGTTTGGGGTTGGTTTGGCAAGGGCTCATTGCGTTTTTTTGGCTCAATGAGCCATAAAAGACAGAATAGGCCCATGAACCACAACAGACAAAACATCCCATCCAACCCCATAATCATTACACTATTCTCTCACAAAAAAATCAAAAAAGTCAAAAAGTCAAAAGTCCTTCCCAAACTAAGGCCAAGTTTGGCTACAAAGAAAAAAGTGCAGTTATTTCATCTTTTAATCTTTTTTGGGTCACATCAATCAACATCTCCTCTCTACTTTTTCTACACATAATACAAAAAAAGTCAAAAAGTGCACTTATTTAGTATTCCCAAACTAGGCCTAAGCTTTTGAGCCCAGGCTCATATAGTCAAAAAAGCCAAAAAGCGAACCCACTTCCCAAACGGAGGCTAAATAAAAAAAAAAACAAAAAATACTACTCATGTTTAACCTGCCCCACGCTTGAAAATGTCTCCAAATTCTTATTAATCTAATTGTTTAAGCCCCCTTCTCCACTTTAAGCTAAGAGTGCAACTTGGGCAGGTTCGGTTCGGTTGAGAAGTTGTCCAAGTCTAACCCAAGTTGTGCTGAGACTTACCCAGACTTGAATTGTAACCCGAGGTTGATTGTCCAAGCCCGACCCGAGTTAAATCTGAATTACCCGAATTGTAAATGATATATATTTTTTTTTGTGCAGTTGCTTTATTAAATTATTAAAATTTGACTCTATTTACATTTTTTTTATATAAAAAATCATTAATACTATCAAAACAAATAATTTATATAATGTAAGAGAAATGCCGCTATAGTAATTCTTATAATTTATGAGTGAAAAAAAAAAAGAGTATGATTTTATGTTATTTGTATATATAATATATATTCAATATGATCTAATAATCTAAATTACTTTAATATCATGTAATGACTAATAATTTGTATGTATATTTAATATTTTTATATATCTATATATGTATAATTCGGGCTTCGGATTGCTCAGGTTGTTCGACATCTTTGCCCAAGCCTACTCAAATTTAATTTGGGCTTTTGAATTTTTGCCCAAACTTGTACTGAATTTGAAAATATCTTTTCCATGCCCTAAAAAAAATCGAGCTGGGTTCGGGTTGAGCCCGCCCAAGTTACACCCCTACTTTAAAGCCCCTTTCTCCACTTTACTCTGTGTGTGTGTGTGTAAAATGATATAAAAGCTTGGAAAAGAACTCCCAGAACGTACCAAATATTCATGGTCAATAGTGCATTTTCTTCAGTTTCTACGTCGATAACAGAACATGCATTTTCAGCCATGAAAATAGTAAAGACTAGATTGCGCAACAGGATGGAGGATGATTTTCTTTCAAGGTACTTGTTAACATATGTTGACAAAGACATTGCTCGAGAATTTGATGTAAATTACATCATAGATGCTTTTTATATTATGAAAGAACGTCGAGCATAACTTTAGATGCCTAAGTAGATATGTAAAGCAAATAGTTATTTTTTAAAAAAAATTAATATGGGTTTACTAGAACATATATTCAATTACATTTTGATAATATTTTGTAATTATACACGATGAATGGAAACATCTAATTATACATTTTTGTGATATTTGGGTAGAAATTGATATTGTATATCATACGCTCATTACAATTTTTTTAATTGTGTTGGCTACACATTTTGTGCTAGCCAGTGACAATTCGACGCGTGGCAAAGTAAGGGTAATATGGGGAGACCAGGTAGGTCTTCGATCCTGATCATACACGTGGCAGTCAATAGTGGTTGTTATAAGATCTGAGTAGTAGCGGATCAACAAAGAGATGTACGGTGACGTGGCTTCAACGGTTGCTCACATTCAAATTCGAATATAGGGGGGAAGCCTAACTGCAAGTGAAGGCATAGTGGAACTACTTATAAGGTAGCATGATAAGCGATTACGGAGGAGCAGTTCGACGGTTTGAAGTACAATTCGATGGTTATCTTCGGAAAGTATAAATAGCATGAAGGACTTCAGAGAAGGGGACGAAGAAAGATCTAAAGAATTATTTTACATATTCCAGTGTTATTTCCTGTCCTTTATATTTCTGTACTTTAAGTTCCTGCGCTGCACTTCATTTGTAGGAGTAGTTTTCGAGTATATTGCCGCTGTAATTCTCTACGGAACTGAGATCATTGTAAGTTTTTCATACTAATAAAATGCTTCAGTTTATTTAACTGTTCTTATGCTCAAGTTCTCTGAAGTCAAATTACCAGTAAGCCACCAGTAAAAGTCCTCTTTATTGAGGCCAAAAGAACCATAACACAATCGTCTGAATAATTGTTTGGCAATTACAATTCTGTAAGGATTGATTGATCCTTGCTGGCACGCTCATAATTACAAAAGTAACCTTCGAAAGCTAAAAAGTCAACAAATTGCATATACACTTTCCCCCCGATATTAGAATCATGCATCAGTCCCTGTTTAGAGTGGAAAGGGGATGAAAGACTACCCTGAGATTGGATCCACCAAGCCTTCAAGAAAATAATGTTGTACTTTTATACTTTATCTATTAAAAAAATGGCCTTTTGTTTAATAATAGTAGTTGCTTTTTATGAAATATGGAAGTTTGCTTTTATTTTTATTGTAAAAAATGGAGAATAAAAAATTTGGGTTCAAAATATCAAAGAATCACTAAAAAATAGTTTGAAAAAAATATCTTAAACAGTAAAATTTAAACCATTAAATCGATTTGTATCTATCCGTCAACTCTCACGGCCTGTTCAATCCACGGACAGATGCAACTTAATTTTTCTTAATCTGTCTAAATTTTGACTAATAGCAAATGATAAGTCACCTGACCTAACCCGAACATCCAACACCCCTGTTACTTATTATTCCAAATGGTGCCTGCTCTTTGAGTATATTAGTATTAGATTCCCTGTGGCTGCACTCGTTTTTGCATTTCAGCCATTGTCTTTCCACCTCGACCTCATTCTTTCAGTTTAATTGATGAATATTATTTTCTCACATTATTTTTTTCAGTAAGTAGTTTAATTGATGAATATTATTTTCTCACTTTATTTTTTTCAGTAAGTAATAAATGCATTGCCAATGAAAACAAAAAGCATTGCATACCTTGGGACTATGTTTAGATTTAAAATTTGCAAAATAATTTATATTTCAAAAAAAGGGGGGGATGCCCAAAAAAAACCAAAAAAGAAAATAATAAAAACATATTTGTGATAAGAGGATCTCTAATCGGAGTGGCATTTTGCCTAACTTCATCACAAAACAGAACTCCAACATGATAGGGTATCAATGTAAGCATTGTGGCTCATCAGGTGTCGGAAACGAAGACACAGAAAACTATCTCCTTTGTGTTTTCAATATTTTTGAGGATATACTCTCCCCCCTCCAAAAAAAAAAAAATATATATATATATATATATTTACAAAAAATGGTAGAGACTCCAAGACTTTTACCAAAATTTCGACCAAGTAATTTTTAGATCACTAGCACTATTCTATTTTCATGCCAAACAAATTTACCAATTTTCCGTAAAGTTTCTACTTGCCTATGTGAATGAATTCTATCCCGAATATCATCATCAATAGCTTTGATGAGAGACAATTCATTCCTTTTCAATTTGCAAAAGTTCTAAAAAATTTCTCCCTCCATGAGTGATAGATTGTTGCAGTTAGGGAAAGCTTACGAGTTTTCCTTTCTAGCACAATTGTATATTTTCAATCATCCCATTACATAAAAGTTCCTGTTGATGCTATTCCTGAAGAAAAAAAATCCTTCCAAATGAGATTGAAAATTTGCAACCAAAAAAAAAAATGCAAATTTAATTGCAGGGGGTGTTCATGATTCACATCCATTCCACATGCTCTTATTAATCTATTTTTGATAGCTAATCTGCCTTCATAATCATCCATACCCCATGCTCTTATTAACTTACATAATCTCTTCTTTTCTTTTCTCTCTCAGGTTACCAAACATATTGTAAAGCCACAAAATGAAATACTATGTTCATAGCATTTTTGTTTTTTTTTTTGCTCAAATTGTTGAGTACCTACCTCACTCATGAATCATTTATGAAGGTTGGATAGATGGAAAGTAAGAAAAATAATGGTGTCCCTTCTCTTAGTTATGAAATGAAGTCACTATTGCTTCATTGATTTAGCAGAATGAAGCATGGATGGTGCAATGTGCAAACAAGATTGAGTTGTGCAGCAGAGTAAATGAGTCACCCAACATATTGCGGATTTACTTCCTGCAGAAGTTCACAATTTGAAGTCGGAAGAAATTTGCAGGCATCAATTGCAAAGTTTTCTGGAAGACTTTTTCTGCTGCATACGAACAAATCTCAAGTATAAATAACCTTGAGGAGATTTTCTTCAAGTCATCGAATAATAGATAGAAATAAGAGTTCCTCCACAGAGATTAAGTTCGAGTCCCTGCAGAGAGATTGAGATATACTATTGTAAGCTCTCGTTTGATAGTAATTCTTACTAAGTGATTCTTTGCCGTCTTGTGTCATCAACAATGGTGTGATTGAGTTAAATGGTATCAAGAAACTTCATCATGATGCCTCCTTATAGCTTTCCAAAGCTGATTTAGAAGTATACTCGCCAACTGATGAGGGAATCCATTATCAGTTTATCAGAAATCATAGTAGGTTGAAAACAACTTGGGATATTTGCCACAATTTTACCAAACATATATCATCATCTATATATATATGTATATCATTGTTATTTTCTGGCAAATTTCGCTGTGATTTGAATTTGATTGTACTACACGGTTCATTTTTATTCAGGTGGGGGGGAGCCCAACAGTTTCAGTTGACAAAGAAGGCAATAATAACAAAAATAGAGGAAAACAGAAAGTCAGAAGGAAGATTACTAATCCTATAATTACATTAAAGATGCAAGTATCTTACATTTGCACAAGTGAAACAATGTTTTTTTCTCAACGGTGCAAAGAAAACACAAACAAACCTAAGCCAATTACCAATTCAGACCAATATATCCACACAAGTGAAAAGGATCAACAATCAATTCTAATTAAGATGCAGCAGCCAGTCCCAATTCCTTCTGGGTTTCTCCAAAAAAATTGGCCACAATTAAACCCACATCCTCAAAACCAACCCCAATACAAAGAGGATTAGCTGGTATCCTAACAGAATCATCTACACCCTCTGCTTCAACCCCACCAGTATAATTCAAAACCCTGATATTAGGACCATCTCTGCACTTGCCCATGCACTTGCATCCAACAACAGCACCTTCAGCACCGAGTACCCTCTGAAATTCCTCCAACAATGCTGGAGCGCCTGATTTCTTGCACTTACCACCCATGCAGACCTCAACCTTCTTTGTTGATTCTACAGCTGCTGCAACTGCAACTGATCTACCATCATCATAAGAAGAACCGCTCACACCTACATTGCAACTGCTACTAGTTTCAGTGCAGCATTGCTGTTCAAGATTACGTGAATTGCTTTCAATACCCCTTTCCTCGATCATCTTCCCCTCTTGGTTCATTGTGGTTGGAACAGCTAACATTGCCTCTCGAATAACTGATTGCAACTCAGTTGCATTTGCTTCTTGGGTCGGTGTGCTTGGAAAGGTTAGTGTTGCTTCTTGCATGACTGGTTGCAATTCATTTACTACCGATGGTGCAAGGGTTTTACTTTTCAGGCAGCTCATGTCAACCACCTCCCCACATTCACTATCACTTGATGATTCTGAAGAAGGGCCAGAGGATAACTCGCAGTCAAGCCTGTTCTGCATGCTTGCAGCTTTCAACTTCGCCTTGTCTTCTTTTCTCTTCTTCTTCAATTCCTCGTCCTCTGCTTTCAGCTGTTGAAGTTGTGCAAGTAACAGCTCCGCTGCTTCCTACACACCATATTATGGAGACTAATTATAATGATCAAAGAACTACTTGTAACACAAGCAATGAATTAAGATATCCTAAATACATATATTCAATTTTGGCACAGGGCTTAGCAGCATAGTAATTTCAAGAACTGCAATCAAGCAAGTACAAACTACTTAGTTACATGATGTCGTATCGTATGGTGTTTGTCAAGATTGCAAAAAGATTCCATCCAGCTCTATATTACCTTTACTGATGGCAGAAGCAATTATTCACAGACAAAAATTCACACAAATAAATCATCCATCAACAAAAATCATTGTCCAAGAGTAAATAGAAATTTGCTTAATTAGGCACCCTACTCTTAAAGTATACAAGGATGTGATGTGAGCCGATAACCAAATTTGAATAACTCAGATATATATATATATATATATATATCTCTGTCAAGCTTTTTTAATCTCAGAATGGTTACATAAAGAAACTATCAAAAGTAATTCAAATGAAAAACTAACAAATAGACAAAGAAACCAACTCAAGAATCAGTTTTTTATTTTAATTTTCTATTTAGAAGTTAAAATAAAAATAAAAATAAAAAGTCTTACCGATATCATCTTCCCTTTGACTTGGTCGACCAAACCATGATTATGAGGATCCAAGCCAAAACCCATGTCGGAGAACATGGACAAGTCCTTGGACAAACCTTTAAGCAATTTCAACCTCTTCTTCAACTTCTTCTTCTTATTCGCTGTGGTTTCCTTTTCCTTGGCATGGTCCTTCTTCCCAGTACCGGCCCTACCCCTAATCGGCGGGGTCGAACCATAGCCATAGTAATACTGCATGTGACCGTCGTCGCAAAACCCATAATTTGAAAACTTTCTGATCCGAGAACCCCTTGAACCCAAAAGCCGACAAGAAAAAGGGGCTCCTCCATGGACAGGCATGCCCATCATGCCTGAAGAAACAGAGGGTTTCGAAGACGAGTGGGAGTGGGCATCGATTCCAGCGCCGGAATAACAGGGAATCGGCCAGAAAACGACGCCGGAGACCCCCATGCCTAACTTCAAAAAAGGGTTTTTAAAAAAGGTGGTTGGATTCAGATTGAACTTATGATGAAGCTAGAAGAGCTTATGATCCCCTCTCCCCTCTCTCCCTCTCCCCTCTCTCTTCCTTCCTTTTCAATCAAGCAAAACAAAAACAAAAACAAAAACAAAAAAAAAGTAATGATTCAAGTTTAAAACAGGAGGAGGAAGGAATTGAAATGGGAGGATCGGAATGGGAAGGAATTTCAAGTTTGCAAGGAATCAAATTTTATGACCGCTTTACCAACGTGGGTGTATGTGATTGGTTGATAGTTTGTAAAATCCGACGTGGAAGCTGCTGTCCGCTCGGCACCTGGAGGCGCGCGGCCGTTATACTTTTCCCACGCTCTTTCCCCTTCCGGACATGCGCCTTTGGTCAATCTCCACAGTTGGATTTTTCGCTGGGAATATTAACGGATGAGATTAGACCATCTGACAATACGTACACTGCCAACTAGACAATATCATATACAGAGCAAGGATCCTTGGTGATACAGAGCAAGGGTCGTCTAGAATTTTTTTTTTCTAAAATTTTTTAGAGTGGTGTATTGTGTGGTTGAGATTTAATAACAAGATAAATTAATTTTTTAACATTAAATCTCAACCACACAATACACCATTTTAAAAAATTTTAAGAAAAAAACACTCTAAAAAATTCTTGATGATACACACATACAACATCGGTTAGGATGTATACAGTTTTTACATTCGTATATTTAATTTTTATAAATATTATTATAACTTATGAGAAAGTTATAATTATAAATTTAAAAAAATTGAGTTATGTAACCAAACATATAATTAAAAAAGAATTTTTAATTATAACTAAAATAATGTTATAATTAATATCATAATGAATTATAGTTAATATTATAATAAATTATAATCAAATATCAAGGTGCATATATAGAACACTCCAAATAATTTTTCACATCGAAAATACTATTCATACATAAAATTTAAGGTAATTTTTTTAAGGTCCTTAGTATTAAGATTTTATAGAATAAAAGATATGCAATGTTTTCATAATGATTGGGTTCCCTCGACATTTTTCCAGAGATATTTCAATCTAGAAAAATTTTAAAACACAGAGAAATTTCAAACACACACACAAATTTTTCTATGTTTTGAAAATTTTCTAGTTTGCTCAATTTTTCTAATTTTCTGTGTGTTTTGAAGTTTTATCTATGTTTTGATAAGTTAATTTTTCTGTCATTTTAGAGAATTTTGTGAAAGCTTTATCTCTTGATAAGTTGATTTTGTTTGCCTAAAACCTTGGGCATATTTGTGTGTGATAGCCAAAGAAATTTATAAAAATAAAATTTCTCTGGCATGTTGATTTTCTTTACAATTTCTTTGGCATCAACATATCCACTTGAGATATGAAAATTCTCTGAAATTCCCCTTTTGCCTATTAATTTTCTCTAGAATTTACTTATTACTCATCTTTTAAGCTTTTTTTTTTTTCAAGCTAGTTTTATGTGTGTGGTTAGAGGGGGGGAATTCTCTCTGGGATTTGAAATTTCTCTGACCACATTAGACTCCCAAATTTATGTGTGATAGCTAGAGAAATTTCAAAAATGAAATTTCTCTAGCATGTTGATTTTTTCTGCAATTTCTCTAGCATTAAGATATCCCTTTGAAATATGAAATTTTTCTGGAATTCCCCTTTTATGCCTGTTGATTATGTTGATTTTCTTTACAATTTCTTTGGCATCAACATATCCACTTGAGATATGAAAATTCTCTGAAATTTCCCTTTTGCCTATTAATTTTCTCTAGAATTTACTTATTACTCACCTTTTAAGCTTCTTTTTTTTTCAAGCTAGTTTTATGTGTGTGGTTAGAGGGGGGGAATTCTCTCTGGGATTTGAAATTTCTCTGACCACATTAGACTCCCAAATTTATGTGTGATAGCTAGAGAAATTTCAAAAATGAAATTTCTCTAGCATGTTGATTTTTTCTGCAATTTCTCTAGCATTAAGATATCCCTTTGAAATATGAAATTTTTCTGGAATTCCCCTTTTATGCCTGTTGATTTTCTCTGAAATTTACCTACGACTCGTCTTTTGAGCTTCTTTTTCAAGCTAATTGTGTTTGTATGCAATTTTTTCTAGTATATTAATTTTCTCTGTCATAGGATTCCTTTAACTTTACAATGAACATTTTGAAAGATTGGAATAAATTTCTCTGTGTGATGGTTCGAAAAATTTGATTTTCTTACCCTTGTCACGTTGATTCCCCTTGTGATTTTCTCTGGCCAAATCAACTCGAAATTAATAAACAACAAGGACCTCGACTGCAAATCAACTCGAAATCGATGTGTGTAATTTTCTCTGGCATGTTGATTTTTTCTATCGTGGGATTTTTCTGCCTTTACAGTGAACATTTTGAAAAATTGAGATAAATTTCTATGTGTGATAGCTAGAGAAATTGGATTTTCTTCCCCTTGTCACGTTGATTTTCTCTGGCCAAATCACACACTTCCCCCTGTGATTTTCTTCGGCCAAATCAACTCGAAATCAATGAACAATGAACACCTCTATTGCAAATCAACTCGAAATCGACTCCATAATTAGAAATCAACTCGAATAAAGTTTCAAAAAAAAAAACTCAACAAAATTACAAGAATGCGATCTCCAAAGCACAAATTGAAGTCGAAAGCCTAATGCAAATCAATGTTTAGAAAAATTACACAATCTAAATCTAAAGCAAAATGAGGTTAGGGTTTGGTGGGGATACAATACAATTCATATATACCTTTCTTTAAAGGCCTTGCAATCTGGAGACAAATGAATTGAGGTTATGAATAGCTTCGTCAGGAGACATGTCGGCTTCGGCGGCGTCGAAGATGTCGAAGATGATGCCAGATATCTCCTTCAATGTTGGGATCATTGGAATTGGCGGTGGTGTTGAGGAAACTTTTTGAAGAATCCAGATCTAGCTACTATCGTAACATTGTGGTTGATTTTTAAACAATAATTACAGGAACATTTGGTTTTTAGAGAGAGAAAAAGAGAAATAGAGAGTAGAGAGTCGACTGAAGTGAGTGTGTGAGAGAGAGAGAGAGAGAGAGAAAATGAGATGGTAGGTATGGGTGTGGGTGTGAGGGACTTAAGGTTACAAAAACAAATATTGTGTATTTCTTCCATATCAAAAGGTAGAGAGGAATGTTAGATTAATTACCCCTAAAATTTATACATAAAAAACATACTAGAAATAATGTGATAATACTAGTAAATAAATTTAATTTTTATATATATTTTATCTTAAAGTGAATGTATCATTCATAAGAATTTCAATTCCATTTTTTATTTGTTATCAATACATTACTCATATAACATAATTTTTAAGACAAATTACACCACGATAATGTCAGTAAAAGATAATTACAAATAAATAATAAATATTATAAATATTAATAATTATAATTATAAATTTTATCATAAATTTATAATTTTTTTTCCCTATACCCTTCAATAATGATTTCTCCTAATTTTAGAGATTGTTTGGGATGTGCTATATAAATGCATTTTTTTGACTTTTTAACTAAAAAAGTAAAGAAAAAAATATATATATTTGGGATAATTTTTTGACTTTTTTTTGAAAAGATGTGTAATCAAATATTGTAGTAAAATCAAAATGACCATTCTACCGTTATTGACTTTTTGACTTTTGGATAGTTGAATTTAAAGGGCAAAATAATTTTGCCCTTTAGGCTTCCCTCACAAGCTTGGGTGCCTTTATTTACACACCACCTTTCATCTTACGGCACATCATTAATTAGTTTAATTTTTATTACAATATTAACCTTATGTAAAATGACCACAAAGGACAAATAGTTATGATACACACCTTTTGTAAAATTACCATAAAGGACAATAATGAATACAATATACACCAAGTATCTCAAACGTTACTTACATCACCCCAACCTCTACCTCTACCCCGACCCCGACCTCGACCTCGGCCACGAGCAAGATTTGTTAATGAACGACGTCGTCTCTCTGAGGCAGTGAGTGGAATACGCAAAGGGTCATCTATTTCTGAAAATGAAACAGAAAACAGTGAAGGATAAGTTCGTTCAGAAGTACAGAACCGGACTGTTCAATTTTGTTCAACACTCAAATTTTAAACATATTGAAATTGTTCAACAAACTAAGTCCGAGTAGTTTATGAAGTTCGACACTAAAATGCCAAACATATTAAAGTTGTTCGACAAAAACATTTCGGATAAAAGGTTAATGTTCGACACACTAGTGTCGAACAGTTCGCAAGATCAAACTTTCATATACAATGCCACTGGTTCACAAAATCAAACATTCATATACAATACTCATGGCAATGGAAAAACGTACATAAAATCCTCAAATCTAAGCAAAATGAGAATTCTTACCTACTGTATCTCCAATGTGGAGTTGTTTCCACCAGCGTCTTTGATAAAACAGAAAATGGTGAAGAATGGGTGTTCACCACTAACGTCTTTGATGAAATAGAAAATGGAGGGGGGATGGAAAATCGTGAGTGAGGTGTGTGAGTAAGGGTGAAGATGGAAGATGCGGGTGGGGTGTGTGAATAAGGGTAAAGATGGAAGATTGTGGTGTGTATTGGAAAAAATGGTTGTTATAGGCTTATTTTGGGCCGACTTTGAGCCCAAAATTGAGTGGGCCCCAAACGTCTTTTGGGATGGGTCCGAAAAGGTGAAGTGTTCCTTGCCGCGTGGCAAGTCACACGGTGAAAAACGGTTCGTCAAAACCATTTATGAGTGGATGGGAACATGACGTCATTTTCGGGTTCGTGGAATTGACATTTAAAGAATGAAATACGGGTTTCTTTGGAAAGGGTTGTCCCACATTGAAACTTTAAGAGAGTTTATTTGTGTATATAAGCTCTAGCCTACAACACTTGGGTTGGGCCCCAAGGGGCATCCCAAGTTTGTAGAAGGAAGGAGTTATAGACAAAGTAAACCTTAG